TTAGGGTCTATATGAAAATCCCGGCCTACCAAATAGTAAAAAACAAGACCGTGAAAACTTCATCGCAGACTTAGAGCCCGAGATTTGTTATTGTAGCATTTCAAGTGGATAGAAAAAATAAAATAAACAAAGATAGTAGTAGATTTGACCATTGTTCGTTATCATCTCTAAATGTGTACATGAAATCGTACCCCTATGACAACTTGCGAATGGACTTTCCGAATGATAAGTATGCTGTACCATATCACATGTACATCCCATTTCAAGAGGCGTTCTATGAAAAGGACATTGTCTCTGACTATTCGAGGCAAAACGAAAAATTAAACAATGCGCCAGTAGATATTAGATTAGAATTTGAATCTGATGAAAATTTTCCGACCAACACTACAGCATATTGCTTAATTGTACACAAAAAAATGTTTGAATATAATCCTATGACTAATGAAGTTCATAAAATATTATAATTTGTTATTTTCAAAAAATAATGCAAACAATTTTATTTATAAAATACTATAGGCCAGTCAACGAAGGAGTAATTTTGGCGAATGGCGGAAAAAATTCCCAACGAAATTTTTTTTTTTTTTAAAGTTGAATTAAGATATGTATAATGACATACTAAAAGTCCTCATCGATTGGACTTGAGCTTTTTTTTTACAGCCTCGCAAAAGCTCAAAAATATGAGCTTTTTTCATTTTCTCAAAAAATATTTAACTTACAAAAAAAAGTTTTTTTTTAAACGTTCTGCTTGTTTAATTGTCTTACCAGCAACATCATTCGCCTTCCACTTACATCAATCATTCATCATCATCGGTGTCGATAAGTAGTAGATAATCATAATGTTTTTGTCTTAATTTTAAGCTTATTATTTGTTCTTTAGTTGCATTAGCATTAAGTATCCCCTTAAGTATCATTAAGTATATAGATTAAATCTGACAGTGATTAAAATCACTATTATAAAAAACGCTTCAGAGCAAATATGTAGATAGTATTTAAAAAAAATGGTAGATTATAAAAAAAGCAACATGATGAATGTGTTAAAACTTTCATGGATTGTCTTGTTGCTTGAAGTGCTTGAGGATATATCCATGTTTACAGTTGAGTTCGAAACGTCAGAACTCAACTGTAAACATGGATATATCCTCAAGCACTTCAAGCAAAAAGCAACATGATCTTCTATTTCCTTATTTATATCCTAATTACAAGTTTTATGATTTATAAGTGTATAAATAAGAATAAATATTTATTATAACAATTAAATATAGCCTGAAATTGATATTTAATAATTTAGTGTTGTAATTTTTACGAAGAAATGATGAATTTATCGTATGAAAATTGCATCTATTGTGGTTCTTTAAACATTCTTTTATACACAATCAAAATTATTTGTTATATTTTAAATAAAATTACTTTAATTTTCGAAAATTCAGTGCTAAATTATAATATAAAATATACTTTACAGCCGACTGTGACGGTCTGTAAACGGACAACATAATAAAACGATGAATAAAATATTGTACAATTTACAAATTACACAATATACAAGCGCGAACCATAATCGGTTGTGCGTAAACAAATAAAATAAAAAACCTTCTTAGTAATATTGATAACCTCTTAGCTTCGCATCTAAGCTAATATAATTCATAACAAATTGTATGATATATTACAATATTATAATGATATATTTTATATTAAGACAAAACATTATTAAACTATTATTAAAGTTCTTAATATTATAGGAACTCGTTCCTTAGAAACATTTGTAATATAACTTTAAATAACAAACTAAATTATGTTTCAATATACAGAATAATAGATTTTTAATTAGATTCATTTTCTCAGAAACTAAAATATTTGCTTATAGAAAATTTATTTGACTAAAAATACTTAAATAATGTGGTCAAAAAATTTTTATCGAGTTACGTTAGTAAAAGATATAATAACAATAATTGTCAATAAATACCCAGCACAGTGGGGTTTAGGTTTTACACCAAAAAAATTGTCTTATTTCATCCCTTTTTAAAATGATATATCAGTTTTAAATAAAAAAATTATTTTTATTATCTAGCCCCCCTTCACCCTCCGCCAATATGAAGGGTGGGCATGGTATAGTGGTGGGGAGGGTTGAAATAGTGTAAGTCAATAACTTAATATTAACGCTACAGGGGTGTCCGACAACAATTCCTACATAGGAAGGGGGTAATGAATCTTGACATAAATTAACTTGTAATGGGTGGGGATGAAACAAGACGTAAACTAATTTGCCGCACATCTATAGATTGTATATAATAAATAATTTCTAAAAATTTTAACATTGCCTACCAGACACTTAGGTAAGCATATTTCAAACATCAAAGATGTCGCCGTACAGTAATAATCATTGTCGTATATATTTTATGAGAAAAATGATATCGTCCATCGTTTTTTCACACCTACACTTTTTATTATTTAAACTATCCGCTTTTGATTTATGTACTAAATAAATGAAATATAATAGATAAGGTACTAAAGTAAATAATACATTCCTTTAGAATAGCAAAATATATATTCAAGTAATTATTAGTAGGTCAGTCAACAAAGGAAAAATAGCGGAAAAAATAGCGGAAAAAATAGCGGAAAAAATTCCCAACGAAATTTTTTTTTTTTTTAAAGTTGAATTAAGATATGTTTAATGACATACTAAAAGTCCTCATCGATTGGACTTGAGCTTTTTTTTTACAGCCTCGCAAAAGTTCAAAAATATGAGCTTTTTTCATTTTCTCAAAAAATATTTAACTTACAAAAAAAAGTTTCGTACAAAAGTTGTTTAAAAGACAATTTTAGACAAAAAAGGTATCTTATATTTTTAAACAAATATTTTTCGAGTTACATTACATTTAATATGAGTACTAAAATTTATTTTCCAATTTTTTCATTTTACGGTTACTTTTTATCATGTATACTTACATTAGACACAATGTTATAAATGCATATGTGTGTATGTGTGAGTTTATTTATTTATAGTATCATTTAAGTGTAGTATATATTAGGATACAAACGATTGAGTAGGTAATTGATTTGACGCTATATTGTTGAAACTCAACTAAACGCTAAATTGTACATTCCCAAACAACAATTATATTATGTCAATTGCCACCGGAATTTCTGCTAAACTTTTTCTTTTTCTTTGCCTTAATCCCAACTACTTGGGGTCGGCCACCCTTATCCTAAGCTTCCACTTGACACGATCTCCCACATCTTCTACGCTCACATCAGCTGTCCTCAAATCGCATTCAATAGCATCCTTCCATCTTTTTTTTGTTCTTCCTCTATCTCTTCTTCCTTCAACATTCATTTCTATAACTGTTCTTACAGCTTCCGATTCTTCTCTCCTCATAGCATGACTAAACAATCTAAGTCTATTTTCTGTCATCTTATCCACGATTGACGCAACACCTTTACTTCCTCTTATATGCTCGTTCCTTATCCTATCTTCTCTAGTCACTCCACTCATCCAACTAAGCATTTTCATCTCTGCTACACTCATTCTCTGCTCTACTTTCTTATATATAACAAACGCGTTATGGATGGCGGCGAAAAACGCAAAAATCACAAAAGCGGATCAATAGCAACTCGATGTCGTACAACGATCGCGTACGTAATCATCCAACGTAATGAGTCTCTCTCACAAACGGTGGTGGTAGTGCGAGTGGCGTTATCACTCATAACAAAAAAATGTAAGAAAACGCCATCTCGTAATGCGTATGCAACGTAATGTTTCCAAACAAAATTTTATTACATTAGTTTTAGTGTGTTCAAATGAATTTTTTATAATTTTATGTATTATGCAATTAATGTAATTATTATATATTTTACTTGAGTGTTCGATGCATCTATTACGTAATTTTTTTTGTATTCGTGACATCGGCCGAACTGGCTTCCTGTTTCTGAGCCCTTCGGGGCTGGTAATGTATAATTTTTTTTAGAATTTGTTGTTTTTAGTGCACATATGTTTTTATGGCACATATGCACAAGTTGCGATTTTTTTTTTATTTTATCATGTTTAGGTATTTTATACAAAATTTTAAATACCCCACGGTACCTCACCGTTCCAAGACCGCCTCCCCATTTTATTTATTATTTAGTAATTTATATGGTTATGAATATTCTATGGCAATGTGTTATGAATAGTAGTACGTTTTTTAACCAGTGGTGTCCCAGTGCCTTGCAAGTAATGACGAAACTACAAACAAATAGTTTGTCAGCTTGAGGTATACGATCGGCTAGAATTAGTGGTATACCATGATTGACGCTAGTCGATCGAACAGAGGCGTTTATTATATTTCTCTCATAAAAGTTATAGGTGTAATTTTTTTCTTTTCATTATTCCCTATAATAGGTAGACGAGTTTTTTGACCGTTCGGTTTATTACCTCGTGTTAACTTTATTTGTTTGTTTATTTAATAAAGTCCCCTTAATTGAACTTAACTATCATTTTATTTTTCTTGCGTGTTCCAACTTTAATAGACTGGTGCATTTTGTATTTTTTTTTTCCTTTCAAAAATGAATTTCCCCTAGATACGGGCAATAGCCTTGTCTAAGATCACCCCAAATCATCATGGTTAATAAAAATATTTTCTTTTTGTGTCGACTCCTAATACTTAGAGTTTTATTTTAATTAATTAAAATAATTAAATTATTTTCATAGTTTCATTTTCTTTTTTTCTTTAAAATCCTATTCCAGTCTGACTTTATGTCTCGCTGAATAGGTTGGCGATTCAGTTCATTTATTTTGAATTAGGTGCCATGAAAGGTACATTTTCCGTTGTGGCCAGAAAGTTATACATTAATATATTTTTAACCTTTTAAATAATAAAACATGTAATTGGGATTATATTAGGCAATAGGAAATAATTAATAATTGTTCGCGCTCGTTATCATGCTATTAAGAGATAACAATAATAATGATGATCGCCGACTAATGTAATAGACAGTTATGTTCGATCTACGTACGCGCACGGCATATAAGTAAAACTATAATAAAAATGATACAGTCCACTATTTTAATATTTGCATTTAAGATTCTTTTATTTATTTATTATACGTATTGAACCAGTTCGCAACAATAACATTTAATAAATACATAATTTAATATAATTAACTATGGACCGTTTTCACTGTGAGAGCACACTCTTGGGTTTTTTTAATAGTAATAAATCCATATAAAATATTTATAATTAGTCAAAAAAGTAGGCGTGATTAAAGTATACATAATGATAAATATTATCATAATTAGAGTTTTACCTAAAATAAATTACTTATAATATTAATATAAATTAAAAATTTTAATAATGATAATATTAATAAACAAATGTGTTCATGTAGCGATTCGATATGGATTATCTAATGAAATTATAATAAGCTTATTTGAAAAAGGGACGATAAGAAAAGCTGTTGAAAATGGAAACTTGGAATTATTAAAGAATGCTCATGAAAATGGAATTGACTGGGATGAAGATACGACTATTGTAGCTGCTGCAAAAGGATATTTGGAATGTTTAAAATATGCTCATGAAAATAAATGTCCCTGGAATGAAAGAACGACAGAAGCAGCTGCTGAATATGGTAAATTAGAATGTTTAAAATATGCCCATGAAAATAGATGTGATTGGAATTTAATCACAACAATAGCTGCTGCTGCTAATGGCCATCTAAAATGTTTAATGTATGCTCATGAAAATCGATGCCCTTGAAATTAATTCACGACAAGAGCGGCTTCTTCTAATGGTAAGTTAGAATGTTTGAAATATGCTCATGAAAATGGGTGTCCGTGGGATAAAAATACAACAAAAGCAGCTGCCTCTAGTGGCCAATTAGAATGTTTAAAGTATGCTCATGAAAATGAATGTCCGTGGAATGAGAGCACGACAGAAGCAGCTGCCTTTAATAGTCAATTAAAATGTTTAAAATATGCTCATGAAAACAGATGTCCTTGGGATGAAAATGCTACAAAAGCAGCTGCTACTACNGAAAACAGATGTCCTTGGGATGAAAATGCTACAAAAGCAGCTGCTACTACATGTAATTTGGAAATTTTAAAATATGCACACAAGAATGGATGTCTGTGGGATAAGAGTACAACTAGAGCTGCTGCTGCAAGTGGCTGTTTAGACTGTTTGGTATATGTTCATAATGAAGGATGTAATTGGCATGAAGATACTATAGTTGTAGCAGCTGTGCATGGTAATTTAAATTGTTTAAAATATGCCCGTAACCTTGGATATGATTGGGTTGAAGGTACGATGAGAGGGGCTGCAGCAAATGGTCATTTAGACTGCTTAATGTATGCCCATGAAAATGGGTGTGAGTGGGACGAAGGCACTACAAGGGAAGCTGCTGCTAGTGGTTGTATTGAATGTTTGATATTTGTACATAAAAACGGATGTAAATGGGATGAAGGTACAACGAGTGGAGCTGCTGCAAATGGTCATTTAGATTGCCTAATATATGTAAATATAAATGGGTGTGAATGGGATGAAGGCACAACAAGACTTGCTGCTGTAAATGATCAAATTAATTGCTTAATATATGCTCATGATAATTATTGTCCATGAAGTAATGAAACCATTAATAAAGCTACTCGAAATGATTATACTGATATAATCAACTATGCTACCGCAAATGGTTGCCCTAATTAATTTTTTGTTGTAATATTGTTATTTATTTAAGTTGGCTACTATTACATTATTTTTAATTAAATTAACTTGAGCTTTAAAGCATATATGAGATTATATTGATTTTATTGATGGGATTTTTGACATTTTAATTTTTTAAGAAATAATATTTTTTGAAATATTTCCAAACTCTATTATACCATATCAATATTTTTTCGTTTCTATTTAGAAATAGTAATATTGTAATGTTTGATCACATTACAAAAACCTAATGCATACAATTACCATTATGTATTTTAATTACATGTGGTGTGGGCAGTGGTTAAATCAATCGCCACTTTATTATTGATGTAAGCTGTGCTCTTTACTGTTTGTTTTTAAATGTGTGACCGTATGGGAACTTTAACAGTAATAAACACTTTGCAACTTACTGACCCTCTTATCCATTATACAGTTGTGTCATGTAGACATCAGGTGTGAAAATCCTGTCAAAACAAAAATGTTGGAATAAAGGTTAAGGAAATAATAATGATGATTTCAATTACAGATTAAGAAATTATTCAAATATAATTTTATTTAAATAATATTAAAACATATTTATTCGAATAAAATGTATTGTTATTAAAATATATTTGGTTTAAATATCATCATCATTGTTATTATTAGAATTTACTATTTTCACGCGTTTTTCCAAATCAATTAGAATATATTTTCAATTGAATAATTATGTCGGAAATAAATTGGAATGATTTTTTATTTGAATTAATATTTATTCGAATAATTATCTTGATAAATATTTCCTTACTACTATTATAAGTTTAGATAACCCATGATGAACAAAACATTTTTTCTTGTTTGCTCGGTAGTTGTAAAAAATACATTTTGAGTAAATCATTGGTAAATAAATACTGCATTATTAAAAGTATAATAAAAAGTATGCTTTTTAAAGTCAGACTACTCCAGATGTTACTGGTTATTTTCTAAGCGTACCTGCAAGTCTGTGATAAATAATTGATAAATAGAAGAACACATAAAAAGTCAGAGTACCACAGAGTTCATTGAAAAATTTCAAAGATCACCTATTTTTCTTTGATATATAGGTAGATATTTTTGTTTTCCCATTTACTATTTATCACAGACTAGTAGACATGCTTGGGAAAAAACACGTTAAATCTGGAGTAGTAAGACTTTTAAAAAGCATACTTTTTATTATATTTTTAATATTGCAGTATATATTTACTAGTGGTGGGAAATATGGAATAGTAACTATTCGATAGTAGTCTTTTTCTTCTTCTTCTTCTAGAAATTGGGATGCAATTTGCTGTTTCATCGATCATATTCTGTCCACAAGAGAGAAAAAAGAGATGCAGCGTCAACGTGACCACAACATAACCTAAGTTTAAGAATTTATTGTAGTCTGAAAAGCATTGTATGGTTGTACATCCATTGTATGTTTAACCTGTGAGAATACGTGCATGGGAGATTTGCCCACCGCGATCCATACGTTTTATGTAATTTTCAAATGCTAAATAAACGGAACTCGGCCACTGAGGGGTAGGATTGCCGAAAGGCAAAGTTCCCCCTCAGTGGTCACGGAGCGCACATGCCAAAAAAAAAAAAAAAAAGTTCTTATTTCGAAATAAATTGTTTAATCTCCTCTTATACACATAAAACTTTAAAAAAGTTTTTCTTATTAATAACAAGGTATTAATTATTGATATTATAAGTTATTACGTTTGCTAGATTGATTTTTATAAACAACACTAAGAAATTACAAAACGCAATGGGGCTTATATGGTCTGGTGATATAAAATACGATATCGTCTTATTATTTTTATCGGATGCTACTCCCTATCAGGTACTTTTTTTAAAAATTTATATACAAAAAAGATTCACGCCACTTGTTGTGCCCACGGACTGTACAGAAATGGCGAAGAAATTCGTAGAAAATTTGGTACAGTTGATGAATTAATATTAAATATGTTAAAAATATTTCGTAAATCTCCCCATCTGGCATTGAATTATGTAAATTGAAGTTTATAGGTAAAAAATTGCTCCTTGAACTAATTATTACTCGTTGGGGGTCTTGGATAGAGGCTGCAATTTAATAATGCGAAAATTTCAAAGAAATTCGTCACGTTGTAACTAATTTTTTTTACACTTTTCAAAGTAATGAAAATAAAAATTACTCTCTGATTTCACGCTATATGTTTATCAATTTTCTTAGTAGTTTAATTCCGATTCAATCCAAATTGTCGATATTTTGATGAAAGTTTTTATAAGAAGAGTAAAACCTAAATGCAAATACTTTATAATCTCAAAATGCATATTTTGAATTACAGCCTTATTCGTCGCGCATATCAATATGTTAACTTTTGTGATACTGTCCAAGTCGATTTCTTTTTGGCAGCTTACTACGTAACCGATTTCTTTAAAATTTTAAATTGGAGTCTCTATCCAAGACCTCCAATGAGTAATAATTGGTTCGGGGAGCAATTTTATACCTGAAACTTTCAATTTAAATAATTCAATACCAGATGGTATTAAATATTGCTGCACATAGCAATTGGTATAAAAAATTAGTTTAGAAACCAATTTGGCTTATATTAAAAGTAGTTTTGAAATTCATACCAAAGCCATTATAGAACTAAAAAAAAAGATGTTTTGCTATGTCATTCATTAGAAAGGGTTCAAAATGTACAAGACTAGTTTTCTATGTTATAGATAATCACGGGAAACCAATTATTACCAAACTAAATAAAGTTTTTGAAAAAATATAAAAAATACTCGATGATGACGATGGCATAACTACTTGTATTATACTTGTACTTGTATTGTAATGACTTCAGTGATTTTCTCGAAGACTATTCCATTGGAGATATAGTTTACTAAAAAATTACATCGATTGATGTCAACTGACATTCTCAGCTTGTTAAACGGTACTGTCAAACAATAGGCGATCACTTATATTTGTAAACCTCAGAAAACAGTTCTTAATTGAAATAATGAAAGTAAGAAAAATTTTCAAGTAAATACATTTTTTTGATAAAACAAATTAAATCTTTTTCATCTATTATTTAAAAATATTTAAATCTTTTTTTTTTTTTCAAAAAATCTATAACCTCAAGAAAATCAGGAAACCTATTTTAGGTCTTGTTTTTTAATAAAAAATATAATTTGATTTAATTTTACTTTTAATTGAACTCATTTAATTTAACATAATTCTGTTTTTCTTTTTTTTTAATGAATAAATTGTAGTTTTAGAAAATCTAAATCTAGTATTTATTGTTAATAATTACTAGATATCACTTTTAATTAAAAGGAAAAATGTTTGAGATTTTTTGCTTTTTTTAAGAGCTTTTATTAGTAATTAGTTCAATTTCAACAGATGCTGATCATACTCAGGCCCAGCAAGTAGTATACAGTCGAGGGCTCCAGATCGAGGTTGTTTGTAACAATTTACCTGTTTCCTTACTTACTAAACCACTTCGTATATGTAATTTTAGCTTCGATGCAAAGCTGAGAAGGTATTGGTTTTACTAAGATGTGTTTTTTTTTTTTTTGTTTGTGTGTCTGTTACCACTTTTTCTCAGCTCTCACCGAACCGATTTCTTTCAANTTTTTTTTTTTTGTGTCTGTTACCACTTTTTCTCAGCTCTCACCGAACCGATTTCTTTCAATGATACGTCAAAAGATCACAAATCGTATCTAGTCGAAGACATTACCCTTAAAAATTGAAAAAATTTCCCTCGTTCCCCGTAAATGGGGGAAATCTCCAAAAAAATTACAAATTTAAAAAACGCTAATTTTCAAAATTTTTTCAATTTTTTTTACTAAAAACTGCCGTAACTTTTTTAAAAATAAACATATCAATATAGTTCTTTTTTTTATAAATGCATGATGTCATTACCTATCATTTGGTATATTTTTTTTATAAATCTGACTTTTTACCTGCCTACAGGGGGGCATTCAAAATGACAACTTTTTCACAAAAAATTGACTTTTTCAACTTAAATTTTGAAAGTGTTCCGGAAAGTCTGACACTTTTATATATATCTTAAATTAAAGCTAATGTAATATACTTTATCATGGAAAAAAAAAATTTCGGACTTTATTTTATCTTCACGGTGAAAATGGCTACCGAATGCTATTTTTGTGTGAAAATTTTCGATTTTGTATTTTATATTTTTAACTTTATAATGCTATGACATATTTAAAAGTGTATGGATCAACATTATTTTTTTATGAGAAATAATATTTTTTAATAATCCCTTTTTCATTCGACATACTTTATCTTAATCAAGATATTAATAAGGAACTAGCAGATCATGTAGCTTTTGGAATAATCCATCAATTTTTTAAAATTAAACACTATCTAAAGATTTGCATCGAAGCGTTTTTTTTTTGATAGTGATTTTAATCACTGTCAGATATCATTATACTTGATCCATCTATGCCACGTCACCACTGTGCCGCGACCCCCTTGTACTGGGGTTTTTTTTTATTTAAGTGCAATAACATTGTGATTTTTAAAAAAAATTTTAGACACAATCAAAATTATTTAAAATTAAATCATTTAATGCATTTTCTATAACAATACTTTAATTTTCAAAAATGTAGTGCTAAATTATTATATAAAATATAATTATCTACTTATTATTATTATTTATTAATGAAAGTAAGTATTGATAATTTTTGGAAATTTAGGATAAGAGTGGATGAACATAAGTAATTGGGATAAAAGCGAAGAATATGTAAAATATATATAGATAATTCTTAATTTTATTTACAAATGATATATATTATTAAATAAATTTATAGCTGTTACATTTATTTAGATTATATATTTGTATAAGTAAATGTAATACCTATAAATTAAATTAATTATATATATATATTTATATATATATATATATTAATGAAAAATAAAATAATTACAGATAATATTTATTTTTTTACTTATAAAACCCACCCATAACTCTGTATGTGTCCTATTCATGAAAGAATTTTAAGCAAACTGAAAATATATATATCAAGGGGCTTAATATAATAAAAATATCTAATTTCGCTTAGGTTCTCTGAACTCAGAACTAATCATAGGTGTAAGGTGATATACTTTAATGCGGAGTAAATTTTAAGTTTCTACTTTACTAAGAAAAATAATAATAGATATGATTTTTTAAAATTTGTGTAGAGCTTATATCTGAATTGGTTAGTCAAACTTTTTTTTACGTCTGATGCACAATCACTGCTTAAGACACTCTAAATAACAGCTCAAATGACAATTAGTTACATTTTGAGCACCATTGGAACAACTTGTAAAGTGATAACAATTATAAATTTATTTTCATGGTAAGTGATAACTTATATTGATAAAAGAAATCAACAATTTTATTTTAAGTTAATGAACTAAGTGAGAAAAAAATTAATTGATATTTTACATTTAATTTCTTATAACTCTCTTGTTATGTAATTTTATTGTATTTTCTTTATTAGCCAATATGACTTTTTCAAATGGTTTTAAAACTCTTGCACCTTACAAGTTTAATATTAAAGAAGAATTACGTATATCTGTAAAAAAAGGATTAGAAGTTCATTTTTTTAAAGCATTAAGTCAATTTGAGAGTGATACAATAAATGATATAATTAATGAGGTATGCATAAATTTATTCATTTACTTAGTAATCTTGTACATATTTAATTCCTATTTATTGTAGACGTACACAGATAATGATAACCAAGTAAAGACTTTATTAATAGAAGCTGCCATTAATGGTCAAATAAAAATAATAAAACATTTATTAAATAAGTTTAAAGTTAATTTGAATGTAGAAGGTAAAGTCAAACATTTTGGTTCTATGGTTGAGGGAGCTACAGCCCTATGGTGTGCAGCTGGTAAACATAAATTATTAATGTTTAATAATTATTATAAAACACATATTTTTAATGAGTTTTCTATTTATATAAATTTATATGTTTACATATATTTTATATTACTTACTAAACTATTTAGTATCTACATCAAATTTGTTATACCTAGGTAGTGGACACCTGGAAATTGTTAAAATTCTACTTGAAAATGGTGCATTTGTTGATTATTGTACAAAAACTAAATCTACACCTTTAAGAGCTGCTTGTTATTTAGGAAGATTAGATATTGTTAAAAGTTTAGTAGAAAATGGAGCCAATGTTAATGCTACAAATATATTTAATAGTACTTGTCTAATGATTGCATCATATAGGGGTAAAGAATTAAGATTAAATATATTTTGATAAAAGTTTACAAAGTAACAATTTTAAAGAGTTAAAATGGTTAAGACTTAATTTAAGTTTTAGTAAAATATAATTTTAAGTATAAAAAATTACCAATTTATATTAACAAAATATAATTTACTGTTTGATATTAACAAAGAAACATGAAATAGTTTCACAAATTATATTTTGTTAAAACTTCTATTGCTCATTAAAAGTAGATCTTATTTTCTTAAATACTTAATTAGAAAAATCTAATTCGTATTGAAAATTCTAATTTATAATGCCATAAAAATTTAACTATTATTATTACTTTATTTTTATTAATATTAGTAGTATCCTTTAAAGCAATATTTACTCTCATGCTTCTAAAATTTTTAGATTAAATATCATTTAATATTTATTTCTTAATGATGTATTTTGAAAGAAAAAATAATGTGTAATTTTTTTAAACTGACCTTAATTAGATTATCTAAATTACTGTATTTTATCTAAAAGTCATTAAAAGGCTACAATAAATGATGTTAGGACATAAAAATGTTGTGAAGTTTTTATTGGAAAATGGTGCTGATGTCAATCAACAAACCAATTGTGGAGCAACAGCAATGCATTTTGCAGCTCAAGCCGATCATCTAAAAATCATACAAATGCTTTTAGCATACAATGCTAAACATTTAAAAAATGAACATAGTATGTATCTCATAGTTTTTAGATACTAATTCCATTATTTTCCTAGATAAAAAGTTTTCTTATAAAATAATTTACTTCTAAAGTATTTTATTGTGCTCTGGATATATTTATTGTGATGTTTGATATAGCTTGTTTTTTTGGTAAATAAAATTAACTTTAAAAGAATGTAAGCATAGAGAATTCTGCAAACTTTTTACACTATCGAAAAAAAATGTTTTGTTATTTTAAAATTAGAATAACTTAAGAAGGTGGGTTTTATTTTTATTTTTATGTTTTATTTCTAACATCCAATAGTTTGATTTCTTTTTAATGTGTAGATAAAAGATTAGATGTAATTAAAATATGTGCATAAAAATGTTTTAAAAACTTTAATTAATACACAATATTGTTCAAAGTAAATGATTAAAACTATGCTCATACACTTAATGCAACTCTGAAGTGCAGTAATCACACTAATGATCTACCAGTGATCACTATAATAATAATAATAAATTATTAAATTTTGGCTACATTCCATACAGTATTAATCTTCTTTACATATTTGAGTGTTAAATATTTACTTATAATGTTTAACATTGCACTTAATCCATTATTAGTAATGTTATACATATAATGTATATTATACTATACCTACTGTCTCTTACTATTGCAAGTATTTTACAGTTTTTTTTCATCTCAAGCTTTTTAATATTTTTATAAGCTTAATTAAAAAATATTAGAATTTTTTAAACATTTAATCTTGATATTTATCAAAAATTTTTAATTTTTTTAGGTCTTACTCCAATATTAGTTGCAGCTGAAAGAACTCATTTTGTTCTTGTATATTATCTTTTAGATGCACTTCATCTAAGTCGCGAAGAAAAAATTGAAGCTGAAGAATTACTTGGTGCATCATTTTTAAATGATAAAGACACATATGATAATCATCTAGGATTTACTATCTTGATGCATTCAATGGAAATGAGGTAATTTTACATAAAATTTATAATTTATTTTGAGTGTTTCTAATAATTTTTGTTGTAAGTACTGTATTTCAAACTTAAATATAAACATTTATAGGTATAATATGGACCCAGTTATTCCAAAAGAAACTTATGTTAAAGTTGAAGCTTATAATAATCGTATTGAATGTCAGACAGTTCAAGATTTAGCATATATAAAAGATGACCTAGAATCATTACACTATGAATCATTAATAATAAGGTAAAGGGTAATAATTATTTATATAATATTTCCAAAGAACTAAATTAACTTTCTACAATTAACAACTCGTATAAGAAAAATCATCCAAAGATAAGTATTTTCAAATGATTTTTGATTTCATTATTCTTTTCATTAAAAAAAGATGTTTGAACTTCTTTAATATTTTTGATACTTTTTAGAGAACGAATATTGGGTATAAAAAATGCAGACTTATTGCAGTCTATTATATATCGTGGAGCTGTTTATGCAGATTCTTATAATTTTACACCATGTATGAAACTTTGGTTACATGCAATGAAAATAGCTCAAGATAATCAAACTAGTATTCATAAGGATCTCTTGCGTTTTGCTCAAGTATATAGCTTATAAATTACTATATAAAAATTAAAAATCAATGTTCTGATAACTTCAATTTATGATTTGGTCACATTTTACCAGTTAATTTCCGGAAAAATTTGGTTGAAATTCCTCATTTTGCCTTAAGCCCAGCCTAACTTAATAATTTTAAATTACTTAAGTACATATTATTATATTAATTTCTTAAAAAATGAATAAGTATAATTTATTTTAGGTTTTTTGTCAAATGATTAAGGCTAATATATCCATTCAACTAATAGACTTAAAAAAAGTGTTAGAAGCTACAACTGAGGAGTTGAAGCGCAATAAAACAAAATTAATCAATAATTCTTCTGAAGAAGATAGAAAAGTGATTGAAGTAAGTATTGAACTTCTTAAAATAATTATATTTTTTTTAATTTTACTTAATTTTCTTAAACCAGATCGATTATTTTGGAAATATATTATCAACTCTTGGATTAATCATTATAACAAGCATTATATTAGTTCAAAATAATAATTTAGAAGATCCTCTTAAAGGAGAAATACTTAAAATAATAGTTGAAATTAATAAATTGAAAGTAAGAACATCTAAAGGACAATCATTACTTCATTTATGTCTCAACTATGATACAAATGTGGATAATTTATTTACAAACGGAATTTGTTGGTAAATAAAAGCATTAACTTTATTTAAAAGTTTAATAATTAATGAGTCACTTTAAATTATTTTAGTTTTCCTAATTATCCTACCATGAAATTATTAATTTATTGTGGAGCCAATGTCAATGCCATTGATAATAATCGAAATACACCACTACATTACCTTGATAAATTCATATCAGACTTGTATGTGTTTTTATAATATAAATATATTTATAAATTACTAATCATTGATAATTAATAAAAAAAAATGTATAATTTTAGTCCCCATATACCACATACAAGTAATCATTTAGACACTAAAAAAATGGTGATGGAATTGCTTGATTCTGGTGCACATACTGATTTTATCAATAATAGGGGCGTTTGTCCCCATACTGGATTTCTTAACAGTAATAATAAAAATATAATATTTAGTACAATTAATACTTTAATACAATTTAATAATGTTGTTTAGCTGTTTTTAAGTTAACAAACAATAATCCAATGAGTTTAAAATGTTTGGCTGCTAGAGAAGTCAGAAAAAATATTCCTAGAGAATATTATCTTAAACAGTTGCCTATAGAATTAAAAGACTTTACTGATTTACATGGAGTTGATGATTGATTAATATATCAGTAAAAATAGAGTATCATAGTAAAAATTTGAATTTAATAATTTTATAATAATTTTATTATTTAAAATTAGGTTGATGAATTATTTTTATTTATTTATAAAAGCTGTAAAAAGATCAATTACTTTCCTATACTTATGATAAATAGAATTTTAGTCATATAAATAACTTTGACCAATAAATCTTTTATATGTAAATTAATTTTTTTGTTATTGAACTTTTAGAGTATATGTTAGAATATTTTTAATTAATAAGTAGTCATATAACTTAACACATTAGATAACAGAGAAATATGTATAGTCAAAGTCTTTTCAAAGAAAACTCGTCTTGTTATAAAGTAAATTAACCATGTTGTTATTAATTGCAACATCGAAATTTTTTTATGTTTACCTTAAATTTCACAACTTTGTGTTCATATCTAGTCAAAATTCAATTGATAAAAACATTAAAATTTGTTATACTTTATGAAAATATTGTTAATATTAACTTTAATATAAAATATTTTCTATAATATTATAATTTAATTTATAGTAAATAGAAATTGGTAAATTTTTATTTTTGTTTTAAAAACACTTTATTAAGTTCGTTGATATGGAAATTAAATTTATAGTATTGTTTAAATTCTATTATTTTGGTATTTGTGTGAACCAATATGGTATATTTTATAGTTACTTATGGTTATAAATTACTCTATGTAAAATACATTAGATCTTTATTATGTCTAGAATTATTCTCAAAAAAAATTAATAATAAATATTGGCATTTATATATTTAATTGAAAGTGAAATTTTATAGATGTTATACATGAAAATTAATCTGACTCTAGTGCTACAATGTAACATGAGTATTATCAATGTTCTTTTATAGAAAAAATCCATTATACAAACCACAATGTATCATATGACATACTAATAAGATATGAAAACTCTCTCATAGTGAGTTAGTTGACCTGAATTTTTGTTTTTATGTTCAAAAAAATTAAGATATTCATGTATTTACGAAAGTGAATATATTCTATTTTTCTTAGCAACAGAATTTTGTGAGTACTTCAACGAGGTTACAAAATAAATTAAATTATATAATGAAAATTGATCACTTGTGGCTAATTAATTATGTAAAATTAAAACTATATTAAAAATATTATTAATTTAAAAAAACTAAAAAATATTAAAAATATTAAACTCAAAAGCCACAAAAAAATTAATGAAAAGTCGCGGATACGTATTTCGGAAACAATGTTACCATTATCAACGCTAAACACATACTGACACCCCGACTAGAAAAAACTCCCTTATATACCCCTAGTGACCTTATCACCTAGTGACGTTATCACTAAGTAATATTATCACATTTTGCCAGTTTACACAAGTTTAATAATGAATTTTTCAGTGGGCCAAGATCCCAATTAATTAAATTGTTTTTATTTTTAAACATTTCTATTGCTTCTCTGATATTAAGTTCTTTGTAATTATTTACGTTTTTAATTAGTTTTATGGTTTTAATAGAGTGATTATGTGTCAATAAATGTTCGGCCACTGGAGATTTCTCAATTTCTTGATTTTTAATATTTCTTAAGTGCTCTTTAAACCTGACCCCTATATTTCTTTTTGTTTGTCCTACGTAACATTTATTACAACTTTCACATTGTATTTTATAAATGCCTGATTTCCCCCCTTCATCTACCTTATCTTTAGGGTTACCTAATAAATCTCTTAAATTATTACTCTTAGATGTTACCAAAGTAATACCAAAATTCTTAAATATTTTAGTTAATCCATTTGAGATGCCCGGATAAAATAAAATTGGTGATCTAATTACTTTTTGTTCCCCCTCGCTGGAGAGTGTACTAGCTGCCCTCCTTTCTTTTTTCCACTTTTGTTTTCGGACTAATTTCAAAATTATGTTTTCGTTATACCCATTAAATTTAGCTATTTCTTTTATAACCACCAATTCTTTATCATAATCTATTTTATTCATCGGAATATTAATTAATCTGTAAACCATACTATTAAAAGCTGACAATTTGTGTTGCCAGGTGTGGTTCGATGTGTTCGGAATGTATCTGAACGTGTGTGTGTTTTTCCGATAAATTTCAAAATTTAGTTCCCCCTCTGTTCTTTTAACTAATAAATTCAAAAAAGGCAATTTTCCCTCTATTTCTTGTTCATATGTAAATTTAATCGATGGGTAAAAAGAATTTAAATGTTGTATGAAAACCCCCATATTAAAATCTTTATTTATAACTGCAAAAATATCATCTACATACCTAACCCAAATTTTTGGAAAATCACCATAAGTGTATTTTAAATTTGTTTCAAACCTACTCATAAAAAGTTCTGCTAAAAATGGTGATAGCGGATTTCCCATTGCTGTGCCCTCAGTTTGCTCATAAAATTTATTTTGAAACTGAAAAACATTTTGACTCATACATAACTTTGTTAAATTAATAAGCTCATTTATTTTATCCTGTTCAATGTTTTGGTCCTTTAGCCAGTCTTTAAGAAAATCAATTGTTATATGATTTTTATTTTCCAATTGTATTGGAATATTCGGAAATAAGANTGTTATATTTATTGGAATATTCGGAAATAAGGCAACTACGTCAAAAGAAATTAACCTGTCATTATTTTGAATGGTATAACCAGATAATTGTTTAACTAAGTCAATATTATTTTTAACTGAAAAGCTATCGAATTTTTTGAAAGATGAAAATACCCTTACTAGGCTTTGAGTTTAATATTTTTAATATTTTTTAGTTTTTTTAAATTAATAATATTTTTAATATAGTTTTAATTTTACTTAATTAATTAGCCACAAGTGATCAATTTTTATTATATAATTATGGCGTTCGGGCCTTTTGATCATAATAAAGAGTTAAACAAACTGATGCAAATCAAGACGAAAGTACGCCTGATTGGAGCTGATATATTTTTGAGTTACAAACATACATACATACATACATACAGGTAAAACTAATATAAGCGTGTTAAAAAAAATAAATATAGTTTAAAAAACTAGAAAAACACGCTTTTAAAGCACATCGAACTAAAAAGTTAAAAATAATTTTTAAAATAATTATGAACAAAAAATACTAGTATTATTGTGATAAAAGCGTCGGGCGCTCAATATACGAAAAATATGACACAAAGCATCCACGCTTTTATCACAATAATACTAGTATTTTTTGTTCATAATTATTTTAAACTTTTTAGATCGATGTGCTTTAAAAGCGTGTTTTTTTAGTTTTTTAAACTATATTTATTTTTTACTTTTTAGTTTCATGTTATGATAGTAGTTACTATCAATATCATGGTTGTTACGGGTAACGGGAAATCAGGGTTTGATTCCGGGGAGGGAGTCTGAGAAACGGCTACCACATCCAAGGAAAGCAGCAGGCGCGTAAATTACTCACTCCCGGAACGTGGAGGTAGTGACGAAAAATGACGATACGAAAATCATCCCTCGTAATCGGAATGAATACTTTATATCTCTTAATTAAAATAAAGCGTATTAATAAATAAATTTTAATAGTAATTAGAATATATACAGGTGTTCAGTAAGTTAGGAAACAGTTAAATTGTTACAAACAATGAGTACAATAGAAATTCGTTTCCTTATTTACTGAACACTCTATTTATATACAAGTAAAGCGACTTAAGTACGTAAACGTATCATGTACTAGGTATAACCGTATTTTGTGGGCGGGCGGGTCGGACTAACGTTATACCTGAGGTATAAACGGTGGTAGGAATATACAGGGTGTTCAGTAAGTCAGGAAACGGGTTTCTATTGTTCTCATTGTTTGTAACAATGAGAACCTATTTCTTTCAACGATACGCCAAAAGATCACAAATCTTATCTAATCGAAGACATTACCCTCAAAAATTAAAAAAAGTTCCCTCGTTCCCCGTAAATGGGGAAAATTCCCCCAAATATTACAATTATAAAAATCAGTAATTTTCGACATTTTTTCAATTTTTAGCTTCGATGCGAAATTAAGAAGGTATTAATTTTACTATGATGTGTTTTTTTTATATTTTTATTTTGTGTTTATGAATCACAGCTGTCGCTGGAATTTTTTTTACTTAAAACTACCATAACTTTCAAAAATAACCAAGTCAATATAATTGTATTTTTTTATAGATGCATGATGTCTTAACTTATCATTTGATACATTTTTTTTACAAATTTGACCTTTTATCTGCCCACAGGAAGGGGATTAAAAATGACAACTTTTTCACAAAAATTTAACTTTTGAACGTGTTTCGGAAATACTGACTCTTTTATATATACCTTAAATTAAAGCTTATGTAATATACTTTATTATGGAAAAAAAATTTCGGACTTTATTTTGTCTTAACGGTGAAAATGGCTACCATATGCAATTTTTGTGTTAAAATTCTTGATTTTATATTCTACATTTTTAAATTTAAAATACTATAACTTTCTAAAAAATGTATGGTCAATACAATTTTTTTATGAGAAATAATATTTATATATTTTTTTCATTTGATATATTTTTTTTTTAAATCGGACCATCTCCCTTAATACGAGGTTCAAAACTTAAAAGTGATTATAAAAAGTAGAACTTTTTCGATTTATTTATTACAGTTATTTATTAAGTTAAAACGTTAAACTAACTTACGCGTTACTGCCTAGCATTGAAAAAAAGTAAAACTTACATAAAATGACTATGTGCAAAAAAACTTGTATAATAAAATTTAAACACAGATGTTTAATTTTTTTACTAGATTATGACCAGTCATAATCCCTTTGGTAAATTAACCCAATTTTGAACGATCAGTTTATATGGTGCCAATTAATATAAATATTGTATTTGAAATCAATGGTTCCTATGAATTTTTAATGGACTTTTTATTCTGAAATTCAAATTTAATGTTCATAGTGGACAAATGTTATGTAAGTAATATAATCGAGTTACATGTGCAGTATATTTTCCAAAACTAAGAGTTTTACAAATTTGTATACATCAAACTATTCGTTTAAAATAAAAATAAACAAAAAAAATTAAATCTTTATTGATATTAATTACTATAACTCATTTACATGTGTATTGAAAAGATAGATTATTTTTGAGATATAGATGTTTTTGTAAAATATCCCAAAAGTTGCCGTAAATTCTGATCACTATAGTTCGTTCTAAGTTGGAGCACTCTGTTTTGCCAAATGCATTGTATCCATAGGCGAGCAATTCATTAGCACGTTTATACTAGTTTCATCTGTATAAAGGTCACATATACAGGGTGTTCAGTAAGTTTGTTTATTGTTTGTAACAATGAGAACAATAGATACCCGTTTCCTGACTTACTGAACACCCTGTATATATAAACTAATTGAAATGTTTATTGTGATATATAAACATTTAAAGGTTCAAATGTTTAATATACATGTATAATACATAAGGGATTACAAATACAGGTAGCTAATTGGTTTTTTATGACGATATTCGCAGGCATAAAGCCTTTATTATCCATGGTAGTAAAACACATTGTTGTGAGTTTATAAAAACACTAACTGCCAATATAGAAATTATATCTAATAATAGTCATAATTGACAATAAACACTCCGTCACTGTGTTATAAAAAACTAAAAAGTGAAAAATAAATATAGTTCAAAAAAACTAAAAAAACACGCTTTTAAAGCACATCGAACTAAAAAGTCAAAAATAATTTTTAGTTCAATGTGCTTTAAAAGCGTGTTTTTTTAGTTTTTTTAAACTATATTTTTTATCTGCGGATATACCTATTATGGTATATGGTGTTAAACATACACTTATCAATTATATTTCTGTTATCATATAACGTAGCTCAATTTAAATAGTTACTTGTGTGGAAGAAAATTCTAATTATTTTATAAATTAATAAAATAATAATTTCAAAAAATGGTTTATGAAAATATAAATAATTATTAAATATAATCCAGAGCTTTATTGAGTTGATTTATAATAAGTATAAATATTTTGTATAACAGATAAAATATGTGGAGTGAATTTAATAATCGAATATTTTCTCTTGCTTGTAAAACATCAATAGTTACAGATGATGATAAAAATTATATTACCGATACTTTTCGTTGGCTGAGAAACAATTCTTCTGATTCAAATGATATCAATAAACAAAATTTATTGGATAATGGATTAATTAAAATATGTTTATGGTACTTCGAAGATTATTTTAGAGAAGATAATCTAAGTCGTTCTATAATCTTACAATTTTTATCTAATTTTTCTATGAATAATAAGAACGTTCAAGAACAAATCTTCAAAGGATTTCATAAAAAAATAAGGTGAAATGAGCCGCGAATAAATATATATTCTTTAATATTAAATTTATTAATTTATAATTCTAAAAAAAAAATTAAAAAATACAATGTATTTAGGGTTACTTTCTTAAGTTCCAATGATGCAAAATTACTTAATACTAGTATAATGATACTGTATACTTTGAGTATAAATAATAATGAACTAAGAGTTCAAGTACTACAAGATGATGAATTAATTAAAGAAGTATTTAAAAAATGGGAAAAAGCGGAATTAGAATATTGGTGAGTAAAAAAAATATTGTGATTTTATTTGAAATTTGGGGAAAGAATTCAAATTTTTTTCCTTCTATCAGGGAGGTTCAAAAGCTAAATATATTAGGAATATAAAAAAATTGTTTTTGCCGACTGATTATTATTTTTTAAATATGTTAACATTTTTAATAATTACTTTAGGTATCATCTTCAAATATTGAAAATTTACCTACTATACCTAAAAAATAAACTTATACAAATTTATGATTTATATCTCAAAAATAATAAAATAAAAAGGTGCCAAATGAAAATTTAAAAGTGTGACTTATACAAAAAAATACCTTTCTACATAGATTACAGAACTACATTATAAGACATTTATTTATTGTAATCTTAAATTTTTTTCTATAAATTGTAGTCAATAAACCTGTGTAATTTAAAACACATCAATATTTATTAAACTAAACAGAAATTAACTCGGCAAATCATATTTAATCATTATGTATTATGTTTATTTTGATTTTTTTTTCAGCAAAATATTTTTAGATTCAATTTTTTCAAATTCAAAAGATTTTTTTATTATTTATAAGAATATTTGTAGCCAAACTCAGTCCGATTTACTTGAAATATTATGTATTTGGCTTGAACATTATGAGGAAGAAGTGTCAATTGATGTAATAGATACAATAGGAAAAAAATTATTTATGGAAATAACATATTTTGATGAGGTGAAAAATTCAGTACTAAATATATTAGCAAAGTCTTCTTCAATTAGTAAATTTAAAAGCAAATTTGATAATGATCCACAATTTTTGAAAAAAATTATAGGTAAATTTATTTAATGTTATGAACTTATTTATGAACAGCTATTTTTGTAAATTTATTTATTTGTAATATATTTTTATTAATTTATATATTATTATTAATTATAATAATTTTTAATTATTATTTATTTATTTAATTAATTAATAATTTTTATTATTTATATATTATTATTAATATATTTTTATGTTATTACCATCATATGTTGTCATACATATTTTGTATGTACATGTTACCTTAATTTTTTAATAAGACTTGAAACATAAAAAATTGTGTACCCAGAAAGATTTTTAAAATGGACTTATCTGCTTCTTACACCAAGCACTTTAAGTAAAAAAAAGAATTACAAAACTAACTATTAGTGAATTTTTATATTTAGCTGACTATATATTTAAAAAGTTTAAACAATATATTTCTTATAGATTTACTTAAGTATGTACATGAAAGAAGTAAAAATAATAATGAATTCAGTGAAGTAAAAAATTTGTCGACATTATTTTCTGGTTCTGAAATAATCTCTCATAGTAGATTTTGTTTTAAATCTGATATTATTAGATTAATTTCTAATATTTGTCACAATAATTTAGATAATCAAAATATGGTAAGTAATTATTTTTTAGTTTAGAATAATTCTTGATATGTATAATAAATATTATAGTAGTAATACAAATTATTGAAGGAATTTATTTTTATGTTATAAATTTGTTTTTATTTTTTCTATTTTACTATTAAAACTTATCTCATTAATACTGTAATATACCAAAAATATACTTTTAGATTAATACATCAAATTATAATAGTAATTTATTAATATTTATAAAATTTTAGTAATTTCAAGTACATCAATGATGAATAGATATCTGCATTTATTTTTTTTTAACTCTAAACATTCTACAAAGTGTTTGTTTAACTATGACTCACACAATAACTCTAAAAATATAAAACATTATTTTTATTTTCAGAAGTTAATAGTACTTCATGTTTTATAATTTCCAACAAATAATTTATTCCTAAAACTTCCTTTAATCCCTTAACATTTATTTTTTAAATAGAAATAGATTTGTTTGTCCAGCTTAAAAATAGAAGTATGACATAACTAAAAAAATTATTGGTTATTAACAACTTTTGAACCAGTATTAAAAGATATTAATATTCAAGACATATCTTAATTTTTAGCTCATGTAATATTCCTTATTTTAAAAAAATTAATTTGACTTCAAGGTGATACTATAATTATAAATTTTTTATTTTTTATTTCAATTGTATGTTACTATAACTTTTTCGAAATTGTTGAAATCAACACAAATATTTTTTTTGGAAATACTAAATAATAGTTATATATATATATATAATGGCTTTTTTGCTTTATGTATTATTATTATATTACTAAAGATTTGATTAACATTATAGTTAATTATTTTTAATGAGACTTACAGGATAATTTATTTATCATTAAACACTTAATTACATGCAAATTAAATACAATTTTGAAAAAAAAAAAATTTTAAAGTTATGTATATTTCATGATTTATCAACTATTAGTTAAATTTTAACATTATTCCTTATAACTTATAGGGGTGTCAACTTTATTTTATTAAATGGCAACAAATTAATGTATGTGCATAATAATTAAAATCATCATAACATTAATGTGTTTTTTAGATACGTACAGAGCATGTCATACCAATATTGTTAGAATGCTGTTCATTTGATGCAAAAAACCCATGTAAGTTAAAACTATTATTTGTTCTGTTTAAATTTATTTGTGATATAGAGTTAAATTGAGTGCTTCAAATTAATCTATCATATCAAAGTTATAATTAAAAAGTATGTAATATATTATATTTTGAAAGTATATAAGTTATATTATTTAATTGATATAAAATAAGCTATTTCATATACAAAACTTTGTTTTCCAGTAATGCGAGAATGGAGTATAGTGGCTTTGAGAAACATTCTAAATGGTAATTTAAATAATCAGACTTTTGTTGCTAATATTGATGCAATTGGTCCAATTGATCAAAATTCTAAAATTGCATTCTAACACAATTTAAAATATTTTATATCAAATTTTGTAAATATAATGTTATTAAATTTTGTATTTTATACTTCTTTAAATATTTATATTTTAAGATAAAAATAAAAATGTTTTTTTAATAAATAATTATTATTTTGTTCTAATTACTTCTTCTTCTTCTTCTTCTTCCTCACCTTAATCCCAACTACTTGGGGTCGGCCACCCTTATCCCAAACTTCCACTTGACACAATCTCCCACATCATCTATGCTCACATCAGCTGTCCTCATACGCATTCAATAGCATCCCTCCACCTCTTTTTTGGTCATCCTCTACCTCTTCTTCCTTCAACATTCATTTCAATAACTGTTCTTACAGCTTCCGGTTCTTCTCTCCTCATAACATGATAAACCATCTACGTCTATTTTCTCTCATCTTATCTACGATTGACGCTACAACTATACTCCCACTTATATGCTCGTTACTTATTCTCTCTTTTCTAGTCACTCCACTCATCCATCTAAGTATTCTCATCTCTGCTACACTCATTCCCTGCTATACTTTCTTATCAACCGTCCAACACTCTGAACCATACATCATAGCTGGCCTTATTACAGTCTTGTAGGGTTTACCTTTCAGCCTCATTAGAATTTTTTTATCGCATAAGACGCCAGACGCTTCTCTCCACTTTAACCACCCGCACTTAATTCTGTGTCTTATATCCTCGTCAATACCACCACTCTTTTGCACAACTGACCCTAAATACTTAAAACTCTACCTCTCCAATCACGTCCTCGCATATTGTAACTGACCTCATTTCATCTAACTCGTGTTCTCCTTTGTCAAACTCGTACTCTAAATACTCTGTCTTCTACTTATTCTTAAACCCTTTTCTTCAAAAGCTGTTCTTCACACCTATAGCCTTTGGTTAATTTCCTCCCTACTTTCTCCTATTAACACTATATCGTCAGCAAACAACATGCACCACGGCACCTCTCCTTGTATTTCTCTAGTACTTTCATCCATCATTATAGAGAATAAGTAAGGGCTTAAAGCAGAATCTTGGTGCACTCCCACTCTAACCCAAAAACCTTCTGATACTCCTCCTACGCTTTTTACCCCGGTACAAGTGCCATCATTTATATCTTCTATTATATTAATGTATTTTTTCGGGACTCCTTTTCTCATTAATGTCCACTTTAAAACCTCTCTTGGTACTCTATAATACGATTTCTCCAAATCTATAAATACTATACACAGCTTTTTTTTCTTTTCTCTAAACTTTTCTATTAGTTACCTCACACAAAATAATGGCTCCATTATTGACTTGCTAGGCATAAATCCAAACTGGTTTTTAGATACCGATGTCTCATTTCTTATTCTCTTATCTATTACCTTTTCCCAAATTTTCATACTATGACTCATAAGCTTTATGTCTCTATAATTTCCACACTCCTGTATGTCTCTTTTACCTTTAAATATCGGCACCACAATACTATTCCTCCATTCATTTGGTATTTTCCCTTCTAATAAGATTTTATTTAAAAGTTCCTTCAACCACCTTATGCCAACGCCGCCTAATATTTTCCATACTTCTACTGGCACTTCATCTGGTCCCACTGCTTTATTATTTTTCATTGATACCACATCCTCCCATACCTCTTTCTCACTAATTAAATCTACCAATCCCTCATTCCATAAGATATCCTCTAATGTCTCTTTTGGGTACTCCTCATTCAATAATTATTCAAAATACTCATTCCACTTTTTTTTCACATCATCATCACTTGAGAGTACCTTATTATCAACACTTTTTATACACCTTATATAATGATAATCTTTAGACCTTTTCTCTCTTATCTTTGCAAGTCTGTAGATTTCTTTCTCGCCTTCCTTTGTTCCTAACATATCATACTCTTAAACTTTGTCTTACTTAGTGCACACTTGGCTTCTTTGCACAAGCTTTTATACTCCATCTAGTCTAATCCAGTCCTTTTACTCTTCTGCCATACTTTGAATTAGTTTTTCTTACTTTCTATGATTTTTTGAACGTCTTCATCCCACCACCAGGTTTCCATGTTTCCTGGCATTCTACTCCTACTCTCACCAACAATCGCCTTTACAGTATTCTTTACACAACTAGCAAATCTATTCCACACATCATTTATGTCTTCCTCGACATTCCACACCGTCCTCTCTTTTGCCGTCTTTACAAACTCTTTTTCATTTTCCCCTTTCAATTTCCACCGCCGGATCTTCGATTTTTCTCCTGTATTTCTTCTATTTTTGTTTATTCTTTTTCCGGTACACCACAACTCCATTACGATCAGTCTATGTTGTATAGTTACACTCTCGCCTGGTATAACTTTACAATCTTTTACTCGCTTTACGCTCTCTTTCTTCCACATAAAATAATCGATCTGTGATCTATTCCTCCCACTCTTATATGTTATATAATGTTCTTCCCTCTTTCTAAAATAAGTATTAACTACAGCAAAATCATATGATACTGCGAAATCCAGTATTCTTTCTTCCGCCTCATTCTTCCCACTAAAACCATACCCTCCATGTACTCTTTCATATCCTCTCCTTTCATTACCTACATGTCCATTCATATCTCCGCCTATCACCTCATCTTCATTGCCAGGTACCCCTTGCATCACCTCTCCAAAACAGTTCCTTGTCTATTTCCACTTGTGGTGCATAGGCACGTATTCAACATTTTTTTTTCGAATATCAATTTTACGACCATCATTCTATCACTTTTCCTAGCTACTTTTACTACTTTACTATTAATCACCTCATCCATTATTATACACCATTCTTTGTACTAGACTTACCTGAGTATATTATTTTATAACTCTAACCTATTTCCCTTGATTTCTTTCCTTTCCACTTAGTTTCCTGCACACAACAAATATCAACTTTTTTCCTCTTCAATACTTCTACCAGTTAATGTTCCAACATTCCAAGTACCTATTCTTACATTGTATCTATCTTTCTTCCTTATACATGAGTCCAGCCTAGAGTTAAGTGGTGATGTCCCCACACCGCTGACACTACAAGCGTTGGGTAGACCTGTACACATGACTGGTGTCACAGCTACCGCACAAGTTGTCCGGCTAGTATCTTTATTACTTTATTCCTTAAGCCTTCTCCGTTTTTAACTACTTTATTTCTTCTCACCTGTTGTCCCCGTGTACATCCGAGATGGGACAATTCGCCTAAGTTTTGTTCAGGATAGTTTTTAGACAAATATTTTTACGCCAGCTGTCGACCTGACACAACCTCATTAGTCGCCTCATACGACTGGCAGAGTGGCCGTGGAAGTATTATTATCCCCTATCCACAGGGAAATTTTGTGCTAATTACTGAAAACCCAATTATAGCAGAAAGTAACTATTAAAATATTAGATTTATTGAGCCTATGTACTTGTTTTACCTCCATTTATGAAGTTTAGTATTACTCTTGTAATAAAGAGATGCTGTCATATTTTAGTTGACTTAAGGATTATAAGAGGATTATAAGAAAATGCATACTAAGACAAAATTGACATTTTGACTTTCTTGGAATACGCATCTGTCTTGCTATGTATTAAATAATGTAAAAATATCAGTGTCCTTACCTCTCCCCTAAATATACTATTGTCTATGGAAGATTATAATATAATGTGACATGGGTCAATGGGAATTATAGTAAATAAAGCTGCATTTAAGGTATATTTTATAAAGTAGAAGAATTTTAAGTCTACTTATATCAATAAGTGAGTAAAATTTGGCATGTACAATTTATGTTCACCAAATTGTAAGAAAAAACATTAAAAATCAAGTCAAAATACAAAATTCAGAGTAAGGAATAGGATTTTCCCATTATTTGTAACAATTTATTTGATTTCTTAGTTTTTAAATACCAGTGTACATACTATAATAATATAATATAGTATGAATACAAAAACTATAAAGTAAAATTTACATAGCAGTTTTAATAACAAAATTATGTCACATTTTTTTTTTTATAATCAAACAAAGAACAAAAAATAATTAACATTGATTTTTCGTCTTTTCAGGTACAGGAGAATGGACAAAATTAATAATTAACTCTTTACTTTACTAAATATTTTCATTTCTCAAACTGCTTTGCATGTGATTGTATAATCACAAATATGCATTTGTAGTGTTAATACAAAAATAGTTATCAAATTTTATTGTAATCTATAACTTTTCATTATATTATGATGTTACTATGTTCTATTTTATAAACAATGATAATGAATATTTGAAAATTGAAAATAGTTAATATTTCAAAATTCCTAAATCTAAATTGCATCTGTATTGTTGTAACTTAGAGTTAGGTGATTGTAGTTTTTCATTTTTATTTTTAAAAATATATATTTTTTTTTTTATTTATCTGTTATAATGTCTGAATTAAATGTAAATGATGAGCTGAGTAAGTATATTTTATTTAGCGTTTATGCATTTTTAAATTTACTATTTTTTATTTATTTAGTGCTATTGGAAAGAGTATTTTATCGAATTGGATCAGCTGATACTGATGAACAGCTTTCTGCCTGTATAAATAATTTTCTAGTACCTGTATTACAAAAATTATCATCATCCCACGAATCTGTTAAAAATAAAGTAAATATTTTGAGTCTTCCTAGCAAATTTATTTAAATAAATAAAATCCTTTTCTACAGGTTGTTGAATTACTTACTCATATAACAAGGGTGGTTAAGCGAAGTTCCAATATTGCATTACCAGTTGATCAACTAGTTACTCTTTTAGCTTCTAGTACCAACAATTTTGTCTTGGTAATAATTATCATTTTATTAAAATGTATTTATATTAATAGTAAATTTTTACTTTATTTTTGAGAACAGAACTTCACAGTGGTATTTGTTAAGATAAGCTTTGGTCGCATTGAGGGTAATAAGCAAATCGAGCTGATTCCTTCCCTAATAAACTCTATTGCTAAAAGAAGTATTTCTCATCAAGAAAGGTATATTAAATTATATATATAACTGTACATGAGTTTTTATAAATTAAAATTCAATTTCTAGTTTTATTGTATCTCATGTCTTTTTCTTTTAAGATGTTACTTATGGTAAAAAAACTAATATAGCTCAGTACAACAGGATTGGTGTTAAATTTTGTTATGTATATATGCATTGAGACACAAAATGTTCCGTATTGAAATGAACCAACAGCACTTGTTGTTATAGTATTATTACAATCATTTTATTTAATATGTTTTAGCATTCTGTTACTAATAATTGGTTGTCTGAATAAGTCAAATGTACAAACAGCTAGTAAAGGAGTTTCAGTCATAAAAAATCATCAAGAATTAATTTCAATTATCACAGAACTTATGTTAGATGTTCTGTTGTTGACTTATAAATGGGCTGGTACCGATAATGATCCATTGGCTGGATTTAATAATAAATCTATGAAACGTTTACGTCTAAACATTCCGTTAATTTTTACTGATGCTGATTATCATGAACAAGTAAATAATTATTAAAACATTTTTTATGTATAAAGTTATATTAAAAATAATGAATTTTTTGATTCATGAAGGTAAAACTAGGAATTTTAGGATTGATATCAGCTAATATTTTTGAATCACAAAAAATACTAGTTCATTCAATTGTTGGAGCTGCTGATACACGTTACACTGTAGCAAATTCAGGGGAAAACGAATTGAGAAAAATTACTTGGTAAATAGTAATTAAATATTAATTAATAATTATTTAGATATCAAATAATAAAATGGGATTTAAATACATTTAGTGAGATTGATTGGTCTAAACCATCTAGTATGATACCTTTATATACACTGTTTCTTGGTGTTAGTCCTAACAAACAAGATAGTAGTAAAAAAGAACCTGCATGTGTGCGTATTAAATTAAAAATATTACCATGTCTGTGTTTGAGTAAAAGTGAAGAATCTGTTCTTTGGCCTCAGTGTATGCAGGTATTAAAAATTACAACATAATTTTTATTGGAAAATAATATATACACAAAAACTAATAATTTTCTAGATTATATTTGATTGTTGGAATGGTAAAAATACAAATCAAAGGTTAAAATATTTAGCATTACAATATGCACAAGTAATTATTCGGCAGTAAGTATTTTTTCTTTTTAAATTTGTCAAATTTTTAATTATTTTATGTATATTTTTAAGAAAACCAGAAAAAACATTATGCCAAGCTACACCTATTCTTTTGAAATCTGGATTATTAAAATTGCTAGATTCTCCAGAATTAGATTTAAATGGAAAACAAATGACTTATACTTTAATTGGTATGTTGATATCTAAAGTGCCCACATCAGTAAATAATAATATTGGACAACTTCAGTTATTCTTTGAAGCGTTAATTAAGGTAAATTTTAATGAAGTACATAAATAAAAAAATCATACATATTTTGTTAAAAATAAAATATTGGTAGTGGTACAACAAAAAAATTAACATGAATTAACAAAATGTTAACAAATTAACAAACATCATCATATAAATAAAATAAACAATTATTTTTAACAAAGTGTACTTATTTACAATTTAATGTGTTCAATACTTAAGTTATTATGGATTGTAATTATTGTAGCCAGATATATACTGTTACTAACTCAATATTTATATTGAACTAAGTGATTTACTTTCTTTAGGATACATCTTCTGACTTAAAAGGCTCTATCAGATCTTGTTTGATTTCAATGTGTAGTGCATATAAAGACTCTAACGTATTGTCAAATATTTTAGACATGTTAGCATATTATTGTAAAATTTCTGATGGACTTTTAAAACAAGTAACAACTTATTATTTGTCAAACTTATTTCCAGCTAATGATGCTCGTTCAAGATTATTGCTTATCCAATCTCATGCAACATCTACTGGGTTAATAGATTTAACATAAGTTTTATAATTTTTCATTTTCAATTTAGTTATAAAAATATTAATAATAGTGAATAAATAATTTTAGTGATTCTGATCTAAAAAAAGTATTATACAATGTAGATGAAGCAGGTAATCTAATTGGTGTTAATGGAGATGCTTTACTTTTACCAAAATTTTCGGATATGGTGTTGACAGTTGTAAATAGTAATGAAAAATTTGACATCCAAGTCTTAACAGAAGTGAATATTTTTTTCTGATTCTTGTGCTATAAAACACTTATATTGTATTTACTTTACAAATTTATTAAAAAAAATTATTTTGTGTTTAGATAGCTGAATATCTTAGCCATTGCCTTACTTTCAGTGCTGGCTTACCAGTAACTTATAACACACTTTATCATCCATCAGCACATACTCCTGAAATTTCAAACTACTTATTAACTGTTTATAAGTCTGAAGCCCAAATTATTGATAGTTTTTTCAAACTTATGTTACAAATTATTCAAGTTAAACCTAGCATAATACCATTAAATAATTTATTGGCATGTATTGCAGCTTTACCTAATCAATTAGCTAGTCAATGTATTAAAGATTTGAATATAATTCAGGTATTAAATATTTTTTTTTAAAGTTAAAAAATTGATTAAGATATTTTTAAAAATATTTGCTTTGTAGAAATTATTTGTATCTAGTAATGAAGATATACGACAGTTAAGTGGAACGATGTACGGTATAATTTTATCTAATTTGGATGACACAATATCTAATAAACGTACAAATGAATTGGTCATGGGCATTATGGATAAAAATAGAAGTAAAGCTTTAGAAACTCATGCATCGTTATTTGCAGTCTCGTCTCTACAAGAATTTAGAATTTATAACAATAAAAATATTCCACCAATAATTAACCAAGATATATTTGTAACAATAAGTAAGTTAGTTATTAAGTTATGACATGCAATTTTTTATATATAACAAATCATTAATATGATAACCATTAATTTGTCTTAGTATCTATACTTGATGATGCAAGTCCTTTACTCGTTGGTACAGCTTGTGATGTAATTGGTGCAATTTCAAGACTTGGGCCAATGCCTTTAGATGAATCAAAGAAGACATCATTAATAAAAACATTGCTAAAGCTTTCATTCAACCCTTCAGTTCTCTCAAAAGTAAAATTTATAATTAATGTTTTTTTTTAATAAAGAAATTAAATGTAATATTTTTGTTGAAGATTCGAAACAAAGCAATTAAATGTACAGGGTTCATTTGTGTTGGAGAAAATTCAGAAAACAGTAAAATTGTAGTTCAAGAGTACTTAGAAAATACTAAACATGTATTATAAATCAATTTTAATTTTTAACTGAAGAGCTTATTACAACAACCTACAAAAAATTCACTTTTGAAAACTTTCTAGGAAAAGCAAAACACTACTTTTTTTTCATTTTAAAATAACAAAATAAGACTTCTATTTTTGTTATAGATAATTGAAAAATTACCTGGTATATCTGTTTATTGTATCCCTATATAAAGGGTTTTTTGCTGTATTGTAATATGTTGAAAAGTAAATTTTTTTGGTTGTTGCATCAAGCTCTTTGATTTTGATGTGTAATCAGTTGATTAATTTTTACGATAATTTTTTTTTTTACAACCATTAGGTTGGTTAATGCCAGTTGGTTTGGTATATCCTGGGGAAATTTAAGTGCAGTGGTTTTCCGTTGGCTTCTGCACTGGGAACATGATGTTTTTTTGTCACTGTAGACACGCACGCATTGTCACCCATCCGTTCACCTATGGTGGTAGGCGCGGCTTAACACTAGAGTTTTGTCAACTACTAGTGTGACCACTGCGCCACACCATGCCCCTTATTTTATGATAAAATCTTAAATCTAAAATTAGCATTTATACCTACAGTCATATTTAATGTTTCTCTAGACAAAAGATATTGAAATTCATTTATCAATTGGCGATAGTATATCATGTGCTATACTTGGACCTTATTCTAAAATGTCTCGTAATTTTTGGATGTGTACAGAACAAGAGTACCAAAATAATTTACCAATTAATAGCGCTGTTGAAAAATGTGATAAATTAGCTGATTATTTTTCAAACTCAATACTTGAAAAAGCAGAATCTGAAGATCATCCTAATTCAAGACAAGTATTTTAGTTTTAGATGTTATAAAATGTATAAAAAAAATTATTCTTTAATTTATAAAATATTAATTTTAGGCATGCTGTGTATGGATCTATAGTGTACTTAATGAATGTCATGAATTGCCATCCATAAAAAAGAAGTTAGCTCGTATACAAACTGCATTTGTTTCACTTCTTGCGGAAAAAAATAGTAAGCATAATTTTTCTAGTTCAAATGCTAAATAAATATATGATTAAATTATTTATTTATTTGACATTATTATGAAGGTTATATTCAGGATTTAGCATCAAAAGCTTTAATTCATGTATATGAATATGAAACTGAAGATCATAAAGATCAAATTTTGAAATTACTTATCAATCAATTATCAGAATATATGTCTGTTGGTAAAAGTGGCAAAGATACTTCTGGGTAATTATTAATTATCATGCAAATATTTTTTTTTTTTTGTAAAGTAATACACGTCTGTTTCAAATATGAACAGTATACAGGATGATTCCTTAACTACATTTCCTTATGAAATATTACGAAAATGTCAGAGCTATTTTTCCTTCTATGCGAATCTGAGAAGATATTAATTTAATTATGATGTGTTTATTTTTTTTTTTGTATCTGTCATTACTTTTTCTCAACTCTCACTGGACTGGTATTTTTCAACAATATGACAAAGATAATAACATTACAAATTGTATCTAGTTGAAGACATTACACTGAAAAAATAAAAAATTTTCTCTTGTTGCTAGTAAATTGTGGAAATTCTCCTAAAAATAACTATTTTTAAAATCGATAAAGTTTAGCTTTTTTTACTCAAAATTGTCATAACTTTTTTAAAAATGAATGAATCTAAACAAATTTTTTTTCATTAATTTCATAAGCAATTAATTCCTTTAGATATTTATTATTTGAAAATCTGATTCTTAACCTGCCTACTAGGAGGATTAAAAAATGCTACATTTGCATGAAAATTTTATGTATTTAAGTTCCCACTTTTATACCTTAAACTCATATCAACTTTCAATTTTTAAAAGGCAACTCCAATATTGTTTTTAAAAATGTTTTTTAACGAGTTACAATTGTTTAACAAGTGTAGGAACAATTAGAGATAAACTTATTTATTTATAAATATGGCAGCATTAATATATCATAAATGGATTAACATTACTATTTTATAGAAATACTATAAACTGCACAACTTATCATGTTATAAACTGGTATCTCTTATCAATTTACGACTTAATAAAGATGCCGTATCTTAAAAATAAATATGCTTTTTTTCTGATCACTCCTAAACTTTAAACAGTTGTAACTTATTGTAAATTGAATAATATTAACATTTTCTTTTCAAATGAATAGATCTGATGATATAAAATAGAGTTGGGGTTATAGTTTAAAAGATCATATAAGTTTTGAATATAAGAGACTGTGGCAGAAAATTAATTTTTCTTATAAAGCAGCTTAAAAAAGAACCATTATTTAAAAAAAAAATAATGATTAACTCCAATATTTTCTAAAATATTTTGTGAGGCATAGTTAAGAAATCAACTTGTACATACTAAATGATTAATTGAATAAATTAAATTTAAAAATAATAATATATAAAATTATAAATATTAAGCTCTTAAAAAAAAATGTGTACTAAGAATTATCATTTATTAGAGGCATTTTGTCTACCTACAAGGAGTTGTGCTCATTAGTGACTGATTTAAGTAGACCTAAACTATTGTACAAATTTATTCAGTTAGCTAATTATAATAAAAAAAAGGTAAACTATCTTTAATTATGATATATTTTAGTAAATATTTTGTCTGTTACTCTTTTTATTTCATAATTTTTCTATTTTAGGAATCAAAATCAAAATTGGAAATTGATGAACAATTATGTGAGCAGTTACCTTTTATTATTCCTAGGCTTTATCGTTACCAGTACGATCCAACTCCTATTGTTCAATCATCCATGAGTGCTATTTGGAGTTATTTGGTGTTGGACACTCGCATTATTGTAAATATTTTTTTTTATTAATTTGAACTTTATAGACACCAATATAAAATCGCACTAGTTAAAATTTCATTTTTTTTTTTTTTTTTGAGAAATCTTTATTGAAATATATTAATAAATAATTTAATGCTATAGAAATAAAATAAAATTGACTTTTGAAATTTATTGTTAAAGTTTTTAACTTGAATTCTTAGGTAGAGAAATATTACAAAGAAATATATTTAGATTTGGTAAAAAATTTAACATGTCCTAATTGGAAAGTTCGTATTTCTGTTTGCCAAGCTTTCCCATCATTTTTACAATACACGGGTGATAAAATTTTTTCGGTAAATTAAAATTTTTCTTCTCAGTTATAAAATGAGGAAAATGTTAATAAATTATTATTTATTCATAGAATTGTCTAGAATTAACAATAGAAGCTTGGACAGAGTTAATTAGAGTAATGGATGACATACATGAAGGAACAAGAAAAGCTGCTACTTCTACTGCAAAAACTTTATCAAAAGTACTATTAGTTTGTTTACAATTGTGTTATCATTTGATATTATCGGTATCTTACTATTTATTTTTGTATTTTTTTTTTCAGTTATGTGTGAATGAGTGTACAAATAATAATCAGCTTCTACAAAGGCTTTTGCCAATAATTTTAGATAAAGGTTTATACCATACTGAAGCTAGTATAAGAGCAGTAAGGTAATTATTGTGTAATAGATTATTCCATAAATATTTAAAAAAAATTTATATATCTTAAAAATATTAAGTCTTGTGCAAAAATATTCACAAACAGATTTTAGATCATTATTTATTTACTTATTAAACTATAAAAATAGTTATTGTTATACTAATCTAGCTGGTTATCTAAAAATTGTTTAAAAAAATAATTTCAGTATGGATATGATATCACAACTCATTGTCAATTGTGGAGATAAACTAAAAAGTGATTTAGCTAAATTAATAATTGCTCTTTTGAGAGGTGCTGATAAGGTGGAAACTGCAACTATCAGCATGTTAAGCGTTATGTCTGGTGCCAACCCTGATACACAAGAAATAATTGATTCAGCTCGTGCAGCATCAGCTAGATCTTTAAGTTCTAGTGATGTTTTATCTAAAGTAATTTGATAATTAAATTATTTCATTAGTTTAAATAATTAGAATGTTTATATAAATATTTTTATTTATAATTTTAGAGCTTACTTTATGTGGATGATATAGTTTTACAAGAGCTTATACCACTTCTACAAGAACTTTTGACTGCAAATATAGGATTGCCAACAAAAGTAGCTGCATCACATTTTGTCAGTTTGTTAATTGCTCAAAACCAACATCAATTAAGTCAAAAGTTTTTAGGTAACTATTTACAGAGTACTGCTGAAGAGTTGTGAAAATTTTTAATCTGTATAGTAGGGTGTTATAGATGATACACTATTTAAACATTATTTAAATTAATAATGTGAAAAATTAGATTGAATTGATTTTTATTTAATATTAATTGTTTAAAGTTAATTTTTATAAATAATAGAATGGAGTAGAGTATTAAAATAACAATAATGTTAAAGTGTGTAGTGTAACCAGAGAGAATAGAATAAAAAATAAGTATAAGAAAAAAAGAGATTAACCAACAGTTTTATTGGTTTTGTATTTAATTAAACAAATATTACTAAAAATTATAATCTACATTAAAAACTAGAATACATAAAAATGTTATATTAAAAATATAGCTCAAATGAATAAATGGTAAAAACATAAGTAGTCTCATAAATGGACTCATTTATTTAATTTTGCAGGAAAGCAAAAAAAAAAAAGCTATAAGATTCTATAAACTTAATAATAAAATCAAAATTGATACATTAATACTAACAAAATTGAAACATATTTCATCAAATAGATTTTATTACTTAATATTTGGACCAATGATGTTATTCAATCATATAAAATAAAAATCAAAGAAAATGGAATACAACTAGTTTTCCTCTGTATTCTTTAACTTTTATTAATGAATAAAAGTATTTTAATTAAATTTTTATAGTTGAAAATGAATAAGGAGTTTTTTTCATAAATAAATAATTGTACTTTTTTATAATATTTTTTTAATTAATTAGATAGGATTTTGAAGTCATTAATGAAAGGCATTACTGATCGAAATCCAACAATCCGAAAGAGTTATGCATCTACAATTGCTGTAATTACTACAGTAGCAAAAGAAAATACTGTCAATAAACTTATACAGTCTCTAAAAGATGTGTATATGTCTAATGAAGGTAATTTTTATAACCATTTTTTATGATTTAAAATTGTAAATATATTTTTAATATAAAATAAATGTTCAATAAAAGTTTTAAATACTCATTTTATGATTCTATAATAAAAAAAAATTTGAGATTTATAAATCTAAAAATATAATTAAGTTAAAAATAAATTCATTTTTAATATATTTTAGAAGTTAATTTCAACAACAATTATAATAATTAGGGCCTGGTATATGCATTTATTATATATATGTGCATAATAAATCCAAATAAATATTCATGTTTTATAAACTTTGTTCCAGCAAAATTAGAAGTAGTTTTCCTTTTTAAGGGGATAAACCCCCAATTCCCCAAACTATACTCAGTAACACATTACTAAGTATTTAAGTCAGTTAATAATTTGTATTGGCTGATGGTATATTTGGAATAACTTAAAAAAAAATTTTAATTTATATAATTCTATGGCATAATATTAATTTATATTATAGTAATTAAAACAGATTTTTAAGCTTATATCGTTAGAGCTATAGAGCACCTTTAAATTATTACTTAAATTACAAAATATTTGCAGTAATTTATTTAACACATTCATCTTATAAAGTTATCTAGAATTTCTAGATAAAAATTTTAAATGTGTTACTAAACATTAAAATAATACAAAATAATTAAATTAGTATTGTGTAAAATTTCAATAAATTATTAGCAATTAAGTTGGTAATCAGAGTTGCCTATTTTCTGATGCTTTTTGATTACACAGTATTATAATGAATCATTTTTTACAGATGATAGTATAAGATACGCGGTTGGTTGTGCATTAAAAGGAATAAGTCAATGTGAGAAATCTGATATATATTTGCCGCACATTATTCCCTTAATATTCTTTGCTATACACAGCAAACAAACTAATGGTAATACAATAGAAATATTACAAGAACATATAAAATGAATTTATTTATTTATCATTTATTTTAGTAGATGGAACAAATAGTAGTAAAAATAATGAAATTTGGAAGGAACTTTGGGAAGACAATGTACATAATACTGAAAGTGTTCTATTTCGTCAATTAGATTCATTGTATGAATTTTTAGGAGAAGCTATAAAATCTTCTTCGTGGGCAATGAAATCTCAAGTATAGTAATTTATAAATTTAACTCTTCTGTTTGTATTCACAATATTTTTTAAAGGCAGCCAGATCAATTGGTGATGCAGCAGAAAAACTTGGTCAAAGTTTAAATGAAGAACATCGAAATAAATTTATTGAAACAATTAAAACTGGATTAAATGGTCGTACTTGGGATGGAAAAGAATTTTTACTAGAAGCATTATTACAACTGAATTTAAGTTCTAGGTACCTTATGTATATATATTTTTATATTTAATAAAAATATTTATAAAATGTTATAAACTTATTTTTGTTTCAATCTATGTTTTTACGTATATTTATGAAAAACATTTAAAATATGTTTCTTTGTCAACTGATTAATTAATGGACTATTAATGTATAAAAATCTGTGATGATTTTTTTAAATCTGATTGGATTTTGATATAAGTTACAATAATATTAAGAGCTATTTAACTCATGACTGTTTTATATTCATGAAAAATTTATAAAATCACAATAACAGTGTTTGGAAAATAACCACAGAAATACATAAACTTAATATAAAAATTTAGAACTTGATTTTGTTTTAAATATTTTAATAAAATAAAATATCTTTAAAACTAATTTTGATTAAAATGTCTATATTTAATTGTATGTTTAAACCATTTTTTAAAATAATTGTTTTATACTTAACAACACTATAATTTATTTTTCATTAATATATATATATATATTTATTTTTTGCAGTAATTCAACAGAGAATCGAAAAAATGAAGAAATTGTGGATTTAGTTTTTAATGAATGCAAAAAAGAAAAAATAAACTATAGAATGGTGGCATTAAATACTATTGGGGAATTATTAGAAAAGTTAAAAATTGATCGTTTTGCTCAAACATACCAATTAGTTATGCATGTCATTCAAAATGTACATATTATTTATTTTAAACTAATTTTAGTAAAATTTAATACATTAAATTTTTTATAGAGCACTGATAACTCAGATATTGAGGATAAAACACAAAATTTGAAATTAAAAGAATCTTTGTTTTCTTTAGTAGGAAAAGCATGGCCTCACACCTTAGCAACTCAAGGTAATAGTTAATAATAAAATTAAATATAATTTTATGTTTTTTCTTTTAACTAGTTCAATTTGGAGAAACTGTTGTTGCTCAATGTGCAGATCACCTAAAAAATAATACTCGTCCTTTACAAATAGCTATAATAGGTACTTTGTTAAAAGTTATAGAAAAATTAGCCTTTTTCCAATTATATACAAATCATAAACAACAATTGAAGTATATTTTTAGTCATGTTAGACGAGCATTGCATTATTCCTTTGGTAAGTAAAATTATCATTATTATTGTGAAGTGTTTCTATATCTTAATAATTTTAATTTAATCTGTTAACAAATAGATTAAATACACATTTATATATCACATCTTCAATAAAAAAGAGTTGTAACTAACATCTTTACAGTAGATCAGGAGTCTTGTAATGTTTTAAATTATTTCAGGTGTTCCAAAAAGTATTATTTTAAGAAAACTTTCTCTAGAGATTTACATCATGGTGATAACTAACCTTAAAAGTAAGAAATTTTGTTTAAATATATTCTCAGAGAAACAAAATATTCTTCTAGGTGTAGCTTTTTTTTAAATTATATTCTATGTTGAAAATGTAAATATTTTAAAACCTAGCAAAAGTATTTAAAGATAATCATCTCGCATAAATATTCGTGCCTCAATACCATACTATATATAATAGGTCCCGTCGTTTTTGGAGCCAAGTGATGTCAGTTATGTGTAACTTGGGACGGAGGTTAGAGGTTTTCCAATTAAAAAATGCCCTGGTGTTAAAATAAAATGTCGAAGAATTGCTATAAAACATTCCATTTTGAGGATAGAAACCAACTTCAAATGGATGGATTTAGTTTTAAAGCACACAAACAATACTACGTATGCTCTCACGGTTATTTTGCTTCGATTATACCCAAAGCGTAATATTTCTGATCTAGCGTAATCCACATCAGTGATAAAGAAAACTGGAGACGGTTAAATACGAGTGTCTAGTAGTGATTCCATAAGCTGTTTGGCTACTCTTAATTTCCAACGATAACCGATCAAACAATTGTGTAAAAGTTGAGTACCCGTATGCATCAGTTCTGTGATCATAGTCGATAACGAGTAGAGTTAACTTACTTTCTAAAGTAATATTATCGACTGTCTTACAAGATGTCTAAATGCAACCGTCTGGAAGAATACTTCTATAAACGTTACTTCATTATTTCATTGAGTCTGGATGACTTCTGATTGTTACCATGCTGTGTGAGTTGCGTTGTCGAGCTTTAATATGACATAGTGAATAACATAGCGTCTTCCAGAAGATCGCCTGTCGTGAATCCTAATGAAGCCAAGGATCTCAGATGACCCAAAAATTTATCCACCAATTTACGAATACGCCGACCGCTACTGACTTGTCGCCACTACTCTATTCGAATCAAATCAAAATATTTACAAAATGCAATGATCTGTCGCTTAATGTCACTGCTTCCTTCATTTCAGCCATTGTAAGTGCACCCAAAACGCCAACCGTAATTTAAGAATGCCGGCGTCAAATCCTATTTAAACATTTAATAGGAATGCATTGAATATTTCTATTGCATCTCGAACAACGCCAGTTTGGTCAGTTTCAGTTTCGTAGTCTACGTATGAGCGTCGTTTAAATTTACTTCTTACGTACTGAATGTCGAAATTACACTGGAATAAAAAATTAAACAATGAATGAATTCATTTAAAATTTCTAGCGAAACTCGGAAAATCTGCGACCGAAAGATTTTATTTATTAACAGAAGTATAAAGATGGTGATGCTGTCATATCCCGACCACGTGTTTTTGAGTGACACAAACGATTTTGTGAGGGTCGTGGAGAAGTTGAAGATAAAAAACGGATGAGTCGTCCATGTTCCTCAAATACTAACGATAAAATTTCAAAAATCGATAAAAAGGTGAGCATTCGAATGATAGATGAGATGGTTAATATCGACAAGAAGACCATTGGACAAATTTTACACGATAAATTGAACATGACAAAAGTTTGCGTCAAGGGGTGCCTAAAAACCTCTCTCTGGAACAGTAAAATGGTTGGTGACAGGTTTGCGCTGACATTCTTGGACGGATGGATGGTGAGCAAAACTTGTTGGAAAAGGTGATAACATGCGATGAAACTTGGATTTTTAAATATGACTCTGAAACTAAAGAGACAACTCATAGAGATTTCCGCATCACCAAAATTGCGTAGAAAACTACGAATTAATTAAAAATAATTCATATACACTAGTTGATAGAACTAACTATCATTTGGTGGTGAACATGTGTGTTCGATGAAGTATTGATTTTTGTGAATCGGTTTTTTTTTTTATATAAATATATTGTCACAATTTTTTTTTGAATTGAACAAAATATAGAGTTATTATTTACATGTTTCATAGGTATTTATATAAATTTAGAATAAACTAAAAAATACTCTTTTGACGTAGTCTAAGAATGCAAAAATTGTTTAAAACAGAGTTACAGTGAAATTTCTATTTTATTATTAAAAATTATTAGACTTGTCATTTAGATCTGTTAAACTCTATATATGAAGATGAAGCAAATGCATTAGTTTCTGCACCGAGCGCCAGCGTTTTGATCCAGTGAACCTGACTATTGTATAGGTTACTAGTGAGGCTTTTGGTACTAATGGGTATCAAAATATTTATTTAATAAATATATAAAAGGCATCCATTTAATCGTCAAGGTTGACATTGAAATTTACGCAAGCCTTGCCCACAAAAATATTAAGTTGAAATAAAGGCGGACCTTTTGAGTCTAATATGGGTTCTGTAAAACATATTTTGAAAAATTCTTAACTTTGACGTGAAGCTAAGAATTTCATTAATTTTATATTCAGAAAAACTTTTAAGATCCAAAACAGAGTTACTTAAACTAATATATTGTTTAAAGATTTAAAAAACTGGACTTTTTGCCATAGTTTTTTTTTAAATACAACCCCTAAAACTCTTAAATTAAAAATTTAAACAATAATGAATTGATCAAATTAACATTTTTAACTTAGGTTTGAAAGCGGCGGAGGAGTTGGATTTGTTTGTAGAACTTTACAATGAGTTCTCAATGAACTTTATCGCCGACGAGTCACCGGAAATCAAACTTCTCTTACAGACCGTTAAAGAATCAATGGGATAGCGGCATTCACTGCCTGTCAAGTTAACAACTACTAATGTTATCTGCTTTGACCTTTAGTATAATTAATATAAAATATGTATTTCTTTTTAAAATTTACTTTTTATTAAATAAATGGATAATATAATAACGCTCGAAACGCAATTCTCTCTTTTTTTCTCGTTCGTTTATCAGCTATTGGACTTTTGGACCCAAAAATGTTTGTAGTAGATGAAAGGTGCACGATAACGTTTTTTTAGGCGTATACTACAAACTGACGTCGGACGTTTTGCCGGTTAGTTTCAAGAAAACGATGGATCGATTCGGCAAACGTATACTTGTTTTCACTTTATTCGCAGTATTTGGGGTGAGTCGGTCTAGACAGGCAATATACCCTTATGGACCGTCTACCGGCGATTCGCAACTTCGAATTGGTTACGAAGTTGCCAGCCCGCCTGTATCACTTAGCGTGCCTATCAAGTTCTATAACGATACATATGATACTGTTTTTGTGAGTACTTCCTTCCATTAGTTTTAAGCAATTATAGCAGATTTTTTTTACACGAGTTGATATAGTGACAAAAATTATATAAATATATATATTTATTGTTTTATTACATGCTATAAATTATCAATAGCAAAACCACGGGTGGTTGGGAAATTGTAATCTCCCCAAATGACTAATGATGTTTGAATTTTTCAGTCGTGATAATATTTTTTTTTTTGCTTATTCGAGTTTTCTTAAATAATGATACAAAGTAAAATATTTTTGGTGAACAAAAAAAATTTTAAAAATGTAATAATTCCCCGAAATTATTTTCAAATTGCGCTACTGAATATAATTATTAAATTAAAACTAATTATTGTTTGTTGCAATAAAAATATTTAAGATAAATTTTAATAAGTATTGCCATATACTTTTATGCTACTCGATGAAATTATTAAATTAGTAAAATAATGTTTTATATTATGATATAAAACATTTTTGCTACATTAACATTTTTTTTAGATTGATAGCAATATAAGTACTGTTGGGTTTTTCATAAAAATATGTAAGGAGGACACTATCGCGGACCCCCTTTGATGTAAAAAATTAAGTATTGAAATTACATTTTTTTTTCATCATGAGGAGTTAGGAATTTTGAAACTTATCACATCCCTTTGATAAAATCTCTATATATATATTTATTTAAACATCATCGAATTCAAGTATACTTAGGATAGAGGTTAACCTTCTTCTACTGTCAATGTAAATAAAAGAGATGTAGTTGTTTAAATCGTTTTAAAAGAATATAAGATTAACAATAACACAAAATCTATTATTTTTTAATACAACGCGCAGCAATTCAGTATATTGGGTTTATAGTGTTTTATGTAAACTTTTATAAGTCTATAATTCATACAACACATTTAGCAATTTTTATATAAGAGTACAATACTTTTTTAGCATAACATTTTAGCTTCGAAGCAAAGCTGAAAACGTATTTACTTTACCATGATGTGTTTATTTTTTTTTGTGTCTATCACTACTTTCTCGGCTCTCACTGGGCAGTTTTTTTCAACGATACGTCAAAAGATAACAAATCGTATCTTATTGAAGACATTACCCTTAAAAATCATTTATAACATAATTATGTTTTGGAATGATAACCATAGGAAAAATTTCCTTATCGTCAATGAAAAATAATTATGCATTTACCATACAATTTTTTCTTCATAAATATTTACTACTAATTCAGATTTTTTTTTAGGCTTAATATTTTTATTGTTAGAGAATAGACGTCAAAAAAAAATGAGAAATAAAAATTGATAAGTTTGCTTATAGTTTTATTTTCTTCTACTTTCCAAACTTAACATGCTACAAAGGGTGGTGGCTTTCTTTCACATGTTAGGGAGTTAAAGATGGTTTTTGGCTAGATCAAAAATTGATTTGATGCAAATAATATTTTATTTGTTCCTATTCCTAAAATACTTTGCAAAATTATTAATAAAGTAACGACACTAGCCATTGGCACATTAATCAGTTTTTGACAATCGCGTTCGGTATATCATAAATAACCATAAAAGTTTAAAGTTTTTAATTTATTATTTAATTAAATTTAGAACTTATGAAACTAATGTCATTAACTTTTCAGAACCTTAAGAAAGGTTTGACATGTCAAACTTAAAAATTGCCAAAGATTGATGAATTGTCAATAACTGGCACCATTAATCTCTAGGTATTGTTTATGTAATTATTATAGTAGTTACACTTGTCATTTACTGAGTGTTTAAAAAATAAGGATTATTTGTTACTAACAATGAGAACAATAGAAACCATTTTGCTCACTGAACATTCATTATAATAAGAATACATTGTTTTAAATCTGACAGAATATCAATGTAGAATTTTTATAAGCAGAACTAAAAAAAAAACGATAAAAATATTTTGTCTATCATAATACACGATTTTTAAAAATTTACACATTTATGTAAAAATTATTATTTAATAATTTTATTAAAAGATTATATTCATTGTTTACTTTGTTTAATAAGGCTGAATCACAGATTAAATTAACTTCACGGTTTCATTTAATGTTTAATTGAATTATCACTTTCAAACATTCGCGATTAACGCCATACATTAAAAATAATCGGTTATAAAATAACAACTTTAGAATTATCGCAATTAATAAATTACAATGTCAATGACTTACTTATTTATAAATAATCGATTTAATTTTTTTTAGATTAAAAACTGTTATCTCTGTGTTCGTATTAGATATTATATTTTATTTTCATATTACAAACAATTTTTATATAGTTATGTAAAGTTTAAAACGTCTTTGTTAAATTAAATTATCAAATAACTTATTAATAAATTGAATACATTTTTTCAGTGACGATTAGTTAAGTTATTTCTGACAAAATCAGTTAGCACAAATTTCTATTAATTGATTTGAAAATTTAGTAATATTTTGTTACCGAAATTATATATATTGTTTTTAATAAGTGGCTTAGGAGGATTTATTAAGGTTTATTTTCCTAAACGAAAAATATTTCTATGCTACTTATAATCCTACGACAAACATAGACAAACTTGGGACCCTTCAAAGTAGCTCAAACAGAATTTATAACTGCACATATTCCGGACCATAATAATAACCAATAGTATTATTATTTTATTAAGTATTCAACACACTATTCTTACAAATTAAAGGATTAAAAAACGATAATCAACAGAACAATGTCAACAAAATACAATTCCCAATTTCCAAGTATTGCTTTATATATTTTAAATAACTGGTCCTTAATTTTTACTTAATACATATAAATATAATAAATGATTATTCACGAAACTAAATTTAAAGTAATGTGAACACGAAACTGATGAAAAGCTACACATGTAGAGATTGCTTAATTTCAAAATACATTTTAAGCAAAAAGTACATTTCCGTGAAAATACACCTTTATTGTACCTTGCAATTTTTTATTTTTAGATTAACAGCAATGGATTGGTGTCGTTTAATAGTGAAATGCCGACATTTTTTAATGTTCCTTTCCCACTGGATTATCCAGCTATGGCTGCGTTTTATGCCAATATTGATCTTCGAGGAAGTGGTCAAGTATATTACCGCGAGTCACGAGATTCGCGTGTTCTTGGTCAAGTTAACGAATTGGTTAGGCGATTCTACCCAAGACAGAGTCAATTTCGGGCTGCAACTGCATTTATAGCAACGTGGTATCAAGTGGGTTATTATAAAAAAAATGCAGACAAGACGAATACATTCCAAGTTGTCATTTTTACCGATGGTTTTGAAACTTTTGTGCTCTTTGAATATCCTGAGCCTATTCAGTGGGTACAATCGTTCAGTGGTATAGCTGAAACGGGATTACCAGATGCTAAGGCCCAGGCTGGATTCAGCGCTGCTGATGGGCGCATACACGTGCTTAGAGGTTCCGGAAGCGATCAGATCTTTAACCTTGACAGGTCAGTGATAATTAACTGCTGCTACTTTGTAGCATTATTCAAGGCTTTTTATAGAATGATAAAATTTTAACGTATTAAGTATATTACAATGGTGGTTATATGGTGGGGAGGGGGTGATAGTTGAATCCCTTCTAAATATACGCCTTTTTTTTAATATTAGAATAAAAGATTGTTTAGTGCACTGTAGATGCGGTTATTATCTTAAAAATGTTGAGGCTGCTAAAATTTTTGTATTGCGGCCATAATTGGGCTATTTGTTTAGAAATAATTGCAATATGAACAGAAAAAAATTGGGTGTTAATTTATGACTTTGTAGTATTTAGAACCCTTTAATATTGCCAAATATGCGCCTATTGATTGGTTTATGAATTCTCAACTCTATTATCCTATGATTTTTCATATATTTTTTACTTATAAAAATGACATATCTGAAAAAAATGAAATGTTTAGATTCTATACAAAACGTGTGCTTTTCATGTTTTTTAATTTACAAGCAAAGCAATTAAAAATAGAAATTACATTTTACGCAGTTAAAAATGTATTTTACAAACAAATTTCTCTTAGAGATAATGTAAAATATATCAGTTGTAAGACTATTATTTAATTTTACATTATTTTATCTATTGGAATTAATATCTTGCTCAATGTTATTTTTAGAAATAAAAAATTTTGCATAGAAACCTTTCAAACTAATAGATTTATTCCCAATAATTTATTATTAAATATTCTAAATATTTTTTATTTATTATTTTGTAGCATAATGTATTTTTAAAGGTTCAAACTAAAAGAAGGGAATTAATGATAACAACTCTTAAAAATTGTTTCATGGCAAATGTTTTTAATATCTTTATTGATGATATAATAATTTTAATTTAACTCATTTTTTCAATGTTAACATAATCCGGGCTAGATTTGCTCATTTTTAATTTTTTATATGTAATAGTTCAAAAAGTTCACTGCTTCCTTTTGTTTATTATGTACCTTCCTATTCTCAGTTAATAACATTTAATAATGATTGTCGAACAATTTCAATCAACTAATCAAGTAATTCACATAAATAAATACATCACTATTTCTTTTACTCTGTAGATAAATATTCAAGACGCGAGATTGAGTTAAAAATAACTTATTTTGATAATAATAATTTTAATGCATATAACTATTTATAATGTTTATACACTCCATACAAGTCTAACAAAGACGCTTTATAGTATAGAGAAATATAGACATAACTATTTTTTATTTACATTTTAAAATGTTCACTTTAAAATTGAATTGGTTAATTAATCAAAGCATAGTATTGATCTGATAATATAAATTACAATTTAAAGTAATAGGATTTTTTTCAAGCGATATTTAATATAATAATGAGTTATAATGTTATAAAGTTAAGACATCTTTTTATTTTGTAATTGCGTATTGTTATAGATGGAGTAATACTGACCAACCGGGATTATGGCTGTACCGTGTAGGTAATATTAGTCCAAATGGTAATGTTGAACCTCCTGAGTTTGCGGGAAGTATCAGACCAGGTAAATATTCCTAGAATAATTCGAAGGTAATTTAATCGTTCTAAAAATAACTTAAGTATGTACATATTTTTTTGATTCAAGACGAAGGTTTGACTTGTGCAGTGGCTGGTGCTTTGTGTCACAATCAAGCGTCATGCGTGGATTATGAACAGGGGGATATGTGTTGTATCTGCAAACACGGATTTTTCGGAAATGGAGTTACATGTATTAAGGATAGTGAGTAAAAATTCATATGTACTTTATATTTCATTCGTACGTTAAAAAGATTACGTTTAATTATTTATTAAATGAAATTTATAGATGTACCAGTTCGTGTCAGCGGAAAAGCCAGTATCGATGTAAATGGGATAGTTGTGGATGAAGCAGATTTACAAGCATATGTAGCGACTACGGATGGCCGTGTTTACATGGCTATTTCAAACATTCCTCCATCTTTGGGATATGAACTTCAGTATTTAACAGTTTTTTCTTCGGTTGTTTCTTGGTTATTTGCACTACATTCTGACAATACTTACAACGGCTACCAGTTAACAGGTAAAACGGGAAATTTAATAAATTAAATAATTTTAAAGGATTATACTCTCTAAGGAGAAGTTTCACTTGATAATTTAAAACTTGGTTTAAACAAGCTCATTTTAATTAAAACAATTTTTTGTGTGGAAAATAGGTGGTGTAGTTAATTATACTGCCGATGTTACTTTTCCTGGTACTGAACATAGAATAACACTTCACCAAAGATTTTTTGGACTTAACTCGTTCGATCAACTTGTGATGGACACCACCTTACAAGGAACAACTCCGCCAGCACCACTGCCACATGCTAAGTATACTATACCACCAGACACTCAACAACAATTTACATTAACAAGTGGTATACTATAGTTGATTTTAAATATATTTGATATTATTAAATTATAATTTATTTTTCATAGGTCGAATGCTTTCGTATTATACGTTTAGATATAAACAAGATAACTCAGATTTTGAACAACAAGTGACCGTTGTACAGAGGTTTGAATTCACTCAGTCTTGCAACAAAGCCACAAAATCTTTAACAACATTTTTAATACGAAACTCAAAAGCATACACTTATTTCGAAGAAAAAGTTAACATCGTTCGTCTAGTTAGCACCAATAATATATATCTACCTTATGGTAAGCATAGCATAAACATTTTTTTGAATTATTAAACCATATTAATAAAATATTATTATAAAAATTGTATAAAATATTGTTATATTAATATAAACATTGTAATTTTACTCTCTCTAATAATTTTGTCAGGAAAACATGTTTTATTAAGTCCAAAGAAATTTTTGTAGTTCTGATTTTTACTTCTTCTAGCAGCCATAGATTATACTATTGTTTATAATATTCAATTTATTGAATTATTCAAGTAAGGTAATGAATATTACTTTTTATCAAATAAAAATAAAATCTTCAGGAGATACATTTTCAAGTTTTTATTGAATCAAATTACATCTTATGGAATTAAAATGCGAGTTTTTCTAAATGTTTGAAAAATATAATCATAAGTATAAAAAAAAAATCATACTAATAAGATTTTAATTATAGAGAATACTCAAAACCCATGTAATGATGGGCAAATTAAGTGTGTTGCCAATAGTACATGCATTCAAGATGGTATCACTTTCCGATGTGAATGTAACCTAGGGTATATATATTTAACCTGCAAAATACAATATTATATAAATATTATTCTTTGATCATTTAGATTTCATTCACTTTCAAGTTCTGAAGCTGGATGTATTGACATTAATGAATGTCAAGAAAGGACTGATCGGTGTGATCCTAACGCTATGTGTGTCAACGAAGTGGGGTCGTACAGTTGTCAGTGTAGACCAGGATATCAGGGTAATGGGTACTATTGTGGACCAATAACATCTATTCCAGGTATATGAATGTTTTGTGTAGTTATTATTATTTTTTTTTTTCAAATAATTAGTTTGATTTGTATTTTGTTATAATGGAAGAACTGACTGACACAACAGAACCACAATCTAATAATATTCCTAACTCGGTATGTGAATCTCCAAACAATATTAGTACATGCTCCTGTATTCAAGGGTGAGAAACTTTTTAATATGTTTTAAACATAGAAGTGTTAATCAAACTATATGCTAAACTAGACATGCTTGTTCTTGTGTCAGTTATTTTAAAAACTTATACAAGAAACCGATACTTTTTAATTTAGTAAATCTTATTAGGGAATATATAAGATAAAGCTGTAATTAAAATAATATAAATATCACTATATTATAATATTATTATGATAATTATAGTTATGAAATTCGTATGTTGTCAACTGATACTAATGAATTTGAGTGCGTGGATGTCAATGAATGCAGTATTTCTGAAGTATGTCACAGAGATGCTTATTGTACAAATTACCCTGGAAGCTATTCTTGCGCTTGTAATCCTGGTTTTACAGGAGATGGTCTAAGATGTCAACCTTTAGGTAATTTCAAGATGATTTAAATTATTATATTGTATGTAATATACAGTTCATTACTGTAAATTATTGTTTCAATATAGTAGGATCAAAATGTAGACTGGAAGGAGATAGATTTGTTGGATATGGATGTCAAGTTCAAAAGACTTGTTCTTCTAATTCTTGTTGGTGTCCAACTGAATATACAGATATTGGCAGTTATTGTGTGTTTAGTGAGAGCATTTTGAATACAGGAGTAGATAACTCAAGCAAATCTAGTTAGTATGATTTCAACAACATATAAAAGCGAAGTGTAAATTTAATGATTTTTTATTTTATTTTTCAATTAATTGTTCAAAACAAATTAAATATTAAGACATTAATAAGACTTTAATTAAGCCCTTAATAATTCTAAATTCTTAAAAAATTTATTATTTTATTTAAATAAACTTAAAAGTGTAATGCAATTTATAAATCATATTGCTAAGACTATTCAAATTTTTTTTTTATTGTGGTTATTTAGAAAAATTATGTTTGTATTTTATAATTAGTACATTTTACCAAGCATTATATTGATTTAAAAATATTATGATAATAATAATAAAAGATAAAATTAAAGATAATTTGCTTTAAAATTATTAATTAAAAAAAATATTTTTTAGCATCTTGTATTGAACTTAAGAATTGTCATGCCAATGCTCAATGCATTTATATAACATCTCAAAAGCAACATAGTTGTCAATGCTACTCAGGTTATGAAGGAGATGGATACGATTGTTCTCCTATTGGTAATCGTAAAAAATTGAATTATTTGTTATTTATCCTGATGTTTTAAAGTATGACATATTTTTCTGAATGCTTTAGAACTATCGTGTCAAAAAGCTAATATATGTGATATGCATGCCACTTGTGAGGTAAATCAAAGAGGACAAGCAAGATGCATTTGTAATAATGGATATGAAGGTGATGGCATAATATGTACACCGTCAGGTGAATGTACAGCTGATTCTAATTGTGATATTAATGAAAGGTGTATGTATGACGAAGCAAGTTACATATACAGTTGCACATGTATTGAAGGATATCATAAGTATAATAATAAATGTCAACCATCACGTAAGTTTTAGATGGTATATTTTTATTAGTTAAGCTTAGTATAGTTTAATATATTGTATTTTAGGTTGTCCATATGAATGTCATACTTTTGCTAGTTGCATACAGTTTGAAAGAAACAATTATACATGTCGTTGTAATGATGGATACAGAGGGAACGGAGTCAGTTCCTGTGAAAAAGTTGATAGAGGTTGTACAGCTATTTCATGCCCATTAAATGCCGAATGTCTTAATAGGGGAAGTACTCATAAATGCTCATGCAGACAAGTAATTCATTTTAATTAAATTGATAATGTAATAAGTTATAGTATATTTATGTTTAAGTTTTTATTAGAATAAAATTAATTGAGTTCTAAAATTTACATTTGAATAAAAGGGTTACAAGGAAATTATCAACAATGGTCAATTGTCATGTGTAGAAACATGCATTGTAAATAATAATATTTGTCATCCATCAGCTCAGTGTATTTATGACAACTCAGGTTTTTATAATTGTGAATGTCAGCAAGGATTTATTGGGAATGGTTTTTACTGTAAAGGTAATATTAATAAAAAAAAATATACTTTAAATAGAAATAATGTATTCAAAAATACCATGTTAATTACAATAATTTGTTTCAAAAATATTTATAGACAATATTTAAAAACAAAGCAAACAATTACAATTATATTTACACAGAATACATTAAAAGTTTTTTAAATTTACACTTTTTAATTAATTATATTTACTAAGACAAGGAATTAATATTTAAATAACTATTGCTTAGTTTCATTTTATTCTTACAATAAGTTTTTATTTGTTTTTAAGAAAATAAAAAAACATCAAAAGGAGATATCTACTTACTTGTTAATCAAGGAATGTCAACTCTCCATATTCCAACAGTAGCTAATAAGTCGAATGCTGGGTATCCAGTTAATTTGCAATTTGATCAAACTGCTATTGGTGTGTTTAGTTTTTTTAATTAAACTGCAAAATAATTTGATTTATTATAATTAAATTTGAACAGGTTTGGCAGTTGATTGTTTAGAAGAACAATTATACTGGAGTGATATTACAGGACAGTCAATTAAAACTGCTAAGCTCAATGGTTCTAATGCACAAGAATTTATCAAAACTGATGCAAAATCCGTAGAAGGGTTATCAGTTGATTGGGTACACAGAAAAATTTACTGGACAGATTCTGGTATGAAACGTATAATGGCTGCAGAATTGGTTAATGGATCTCAAAATTTAATAATAGCTAATAATTCACTAAGTAATCCTAGAGGAATTGTTGTACATCCAAATAGGAGGTTTACAAATAAAATATAAATTTTAACTTTGTTTATCTTATTTGTGTATATTTTTTTTATTATAGAAAAGTATTTTGGACAGATTGGAATAGAGTAAATCCAAAAATTGAATGGTCTGAATTAGATGGAACCCAACGTGAAATTTTCATTCAAGGGCCAAGTGTAAAATTGCCTAATTCTATTGCTATTGACTGGAATACTGATGAAGTATGTTGGGCTGATGCAGGCTTAAAAAGCATTGGTAAAATTTGAATAATGAAATGATAAAAGTATTAATTCTATATCAGTGTGGCAAAATTTTTTATGTAAAAAAACAATTTTACAAGAGAGCATTAAAAAGAAATTCTTTAAGTTATTTCTATGAATTTACAACATTAAACATATAACATATAATATATAACAGATTAATTAATATAACTTTAAAAATCATATATAATACAGTCAAATATAGACTATCAACTTTAGACATCATGAATAATTCTAAAATAGAAAAAATACTAAACAACAGTTTTTGTCACAGTAGTACAGAATTGAGATATAGTAAAATACTTATACTTAAACTTTATTTGTTGCTTGTTTTAAAAATAACATAAAATATATTTCTTGCAAATTAAAAATTGTTTAATTACAGAATGTGTAGGGATAGATAGTCGTTTACAACGTACAGCTGTAGCTAATTGTAGTTATCCATTTGGAATAGCCATTACTCGTGATAATTACTATTGGTCAGATTGGATATCGTGAGTTAATAAATTTTATAATACATAAGTAATCAATTAATAATAAAAAGATAGTTAAATTATACATATATATATAAAAAAAACAATGAATTTCTAGGGAAAAAATTGAATTTGTAGCAAAGAATGACAAAATTAAAAGAGAAAGTTTATTTGTACCATCAGTTGGTAATGGTAAACTATACGGAATAGCAGCAGTGACAGGAAGATGTCCATAATATGAAGACTGAGTGATAAAATAATAATGATAATAATATTTATAAATTTTTCAATTTAATTGTTTTATATATAATACAAAAATCAATTGTGTGACTACTTTTTTTTCTATTGTATAAAACTTATATAACATACTTGTATACTATATCAGATTGGTTTGTACAACAAAGTGGTAACATATTTTTTACGATATCTATGTGTAGCACTTAAAACCATAACGCCGTCTTTAATAGAAAGAGCATATAAATGGTTCAACATTACATGATTAGGTTCTGGAAGAAGTGTAGGCTCACACTAACAACAACAACAAAAAAAAAAAATTATTATACTGTTGATAACTACCAAGTTAAGAATTGTAATATTTACCGACAAAGGAGTATCTTTATTCAGTATAACTTGTAAAAGATGTGGTGGTAAGATTGGAGGACCTGATACTTTTTGCCAAGGTACAGATGATGGAATTTCTTGAGAAAACCCACCTAAAAAAAATTATTTGATAAGTAATTAATTTTAAATTATGTTAATATTAATACTTTTTTCATTGCCATTCTCTCCAATAGCATCTACATCTAATGCTTGAAAAACTTCAAAATCAGTTTTCTTAACAACAATTTTATTATTTGTAATTCCTGGGTCATTATCAATCATTGACTGTAATTGATAATTTTAAATATAAATAAATCATTAATAATGATGAATGAAAACTTTTGAAATAACCATTTTCAAATTTTTAAATATCAATAACTATAAATAGTTTTATAGTTATAGTTAGGACTGAACATTAAAAAATTTTAATACATTTTGACTATTTTAGTATGGGTCAGGAATTTATATAAAAACAACACTTTTTTGCTCATGGCATTATAGTTAAGAAATTATCACCAAACATAATTAATAGAATCTATTTCATATATTTTATGATAAAAGCAAATTTTTCTATATTAAAATTAATTTTTATAGAATGTTAAGTGTAATATTCATGTTTATAAGCTCATAAAAATATATACATTTTAAGCATTCTAATGCTTAAAATACTTAAATTACTAATTACTTTTTACTTACAACTTTTGGATCGCAGCGCCAATTTCCATCAACACAAAACTTATACTGATGTTCACCTTCAGGTAAATCAATAATAGTAACAAAATCATTGTGGCTATAATAATTAAGAACATAAAACTTTAATAATGATGAAGTAAACATGTCAAATGAAGGGACATCACTTCAATAATTTTTTTGGTACATATAAATATTGAATACAGTATTATTATATCAGTATTTGTGCTGTTATGGCACAATTAATGACAGGTTGGTGTATATATTATAATATTTTGATTGTATTTATTTTTTAATATGGAATGGTGTAGTTTTTATTTATGACATAAAAAAGTATAACCTAAAATCATTAAATCAATGTTTCCTAGAGCAGTGTTTTTTTTTATTTGAGATGTTGTAAACTTAATTTGTAGGATAGCTAAAATATGGTTTTAATATGATTACGGTTATGGTAAGAGTCACTGAAAAGTTGAATATTAAATAACGGGGGCCATAATAGTAAAAAGGTTGACAATTGCTGTTCTAAAGGATAGATTTAATTAAACTTTTTATTTTCTGTCAATTATTTTGAATGTTGTAATAATGATGACACTAAGTGACTTGATAGCTAAATATGATTTGTGGAATCCACAAATTTGTAGTTATACAAATGTGTATACTTTACGTACATAATGAACTCTTATTATCTTATGAAAATAAAACGTTTCTAAATATTAATTAATGAGTTATATACAGGGTAGTTAAAATACATAGTTATAGTGTTATGAACAAATTATGTTCTAAAGAACTAAATTACAATTTTTTATTATTATTAGTATTTTATAGACAGCAAATGTATTTCATTTCTGACCAAGAACTCTAAAGATTTCTTTGTAGAACTTTCATGAATAGACTTCAGAACTTTATACATTTATAACAATTTTTTTTTTACTCATATTAAGTATATCAATGATAAATAGATATTAAATTTTGTTTATCTTAATCCTAATCAATGAATATGAATTAATTTTAGTTTTAATGGTTAATTTCCATGGATTTGGTTCTCTTGGAAGTGGTCCAAAAATTTTTTATAAATGCAGTCTCAAACCCTAGTTATGAATATAACAAAGTAATCTATATACCTAGGCTAGAATTGCTTTGTGCCTCAGTACGTAGGTATCAATGTTTAATTTCTAACTGCCGATTTGTTTAAGTAACCCAACCTCTCAAATATAAGAATTAAGTTTCTTAGTTGAGAGGATGTTAAATATAGAATAAATAAATAAAAATATTACTTTTAATGTTATATTCATTAATGACAGTTAACAATTAAGGGTATATATTTTATAAATATTCTGAATCTATGTATTGATATATTAGGATTTGAAATAGAGATAAGGTTTGTAATATAGCCAAACTATTTTATAATTAATCATAATTATCAGTCAATTAGTTCTTATTTTAATATTCATACACTTCAGTCTAGAAGATTATATTTTGATATTAAATTCATTTAAGATTCAATAAATGGGTTGGTTGATGATAGTAGTTTTCTTAGTTTAATTAAGTTTATTGTTCCCTCATATTATTGATGATCCTTTATTACTTTTTATGTTAATCATCACCAAACATATGGTTCATATTTACCGATAATTTGGTCTCTTTTCACTTGTATAATTATAATATTTTCAGACAACATTAAAAAGATAAAAAAATCTACCTTTACCTTCTCTTAAATTATGTAAATTTATTATTATTTAACATTTTTTTTTTACTTATATATTTACCCTAGTATTATAAAGTTTTGTAATCTATTATTATAATGTATATTATTCATTAAGATATAATTTTTGTAACTGACACTAAGCTTTCAGGTGTTTACAAATAAATAAAAGTAGTATTATACCTTTGAACCATAGGAATTGGTTTCCACTCTGAAAATGTACCACTGATGAACACTTGTTTACCTCCTCCTTCCCATCTAAAAACTGTTGGTAACATTTTATTTTCAGTATCACTAGCTGACATAGATCTTGATATTCCATCAGTGAAATCATGATCCTTTTTAATAGAAAACATTTTTAATTAATATTACAGTATTGAATATTCCAATTAGTTAATGATTTAATTTTAGATAAAACAATTATTATACATTTGACTTTGAAGTGTTTTTAGTAAACAATGGTTTAGCTTCATGTAGTAAATTTGAGTCAGAATTTTTATCAAACACAAAAGCTTGACTTTGTACTTCCTTAGACGGTGAAGATGGAACAATTAGACCTGCTGATTTGTGTCGCTGGTTAGCATTTGTATTTCCCATAACTTTATTAATGAGATATCTAATCAATATAATTGCATTACATTTTTAGATTTAAATCTACTTAGACTTTGAGCTACATTACTTGTATGAAAATAACAATAAAAATGATTTATTTACATATGAAACAATTGTAATATTTAAAATTTACATGGCATATTTTACTAAATTGTACTAAAATGAATACATAATATTTATTTAATTTATTATAAAATAGAAATTATCATCGTACTATATATTGTTTTATATTAAAGGTAATAATATATAAAAAAAATCTAATGTAATGTAATATAATTTATTCATTGATATATATTGAAAATGTTATCAAGAGATTCCTGTTATTACGTCTTGAATTATTTTATGTAAACCACAAAATCCTTGTAATCACCTGTTTTTTATTGGCTGATGAGTTATCACGTTCGTTCGACCCTCTTATTTTTTCATTCATAAATTTTTATCACATCAATTTTGTATAAAAAATGTGATAACATTATACAACAAGTAGCTGTGAAAAACGTGTTTGACTTAATTAAATTTGAAATAAGTTCTAACGGTAACTTTTATAAAATGGGATAAAATAATCGATTACATTGGTTGTAGTCTATGTTAAAGTGATAAATTTATGAGAAGCATAAAACTATTGATCTGAAAAACTTAATTGAAATATTTTCTAATATTTATGTTTTGATTATATTACAAATAAAATCAATTAATTACCAAAATGGACTGTATTCCATTACAAAAATATTCCGAGTAAGCTATCCTTGATTTTCTGTCAAATAATCTTAATTAAATAATTTTTTTAAATAATATACATTTTTGTGTAAACTTAAAAAATAGTAGTAGAGTAAACTGAGTTAGGGAATATATAATTTAAAGTCTAATACTGAAATATCTAATAAATTTTAATTTTATAGTTAAAAACCAATAGTTGATGAATTATAAAATCATCTAGCTAAAATTGAATATGTTATATAATTTAATGTTATATTTTACTCTTTAAAAATATTATTTTAAATTCTTAAAACAATTCTAAGACTAAAATTTTTTTTTGTTTATAAAATGTTTTGTTAGTATGATATGATATGATATGATATTAAATTCAATAAAATTTATCATTATTTTGTTCTTTTGAAAAAAAAACTTGGTTAAATAGTTATTTATTGTTTTGTTAAAATTGACCCCATCAATGAGGTAAAAATATAGTTTTATTTTATTAAATTGTTCATAGCAACCATATACTACAAGTTATATGTGATAGAAAAAAGTGTTCTTCTTAGTCTAGGTTACTCTGTAGCTATTTCATATTAGTTTCATAAAGTTTTTTGCTTAACACTTATATTTTATTTAATATTATTTATCTTATCTAAAAGTGAAAAGCGTGACACTTAGTTTAATTTATATATACTAACTATAGAACTCCGAGCATGAGTCTTACTTTTTTTGATAAAAAATGGTAATATTACCAATTTGCTACTAGCATGTAAACTAGGCAAAATTATGTTATTATTTATGAACAGTATATAGGTTTTAAAAAGTATGAAAATAGGTTAACTGTTTTTACGAATAATGGAATCATATAAAAAATAATACCTTGTATTCTTTTCAATACTTTTAATTCTTTTATGTTTATAGTAAATTTTTTTCTCATTAGCTTACTTTATGAAATATCAAAATACAATGCAAGCACTATTCCTGTTTATGGTCCATTTAAAAAACTATTTATCAGTGATTGGGCCCATTCCAAAATTCATCCTTGTGTAATTCAGGTAACTTTTTTGAAATTACTCAAGCTAGTTTTTATTTTAAATAATATAATAATAAATTAAAAACATTTTAGAGTTTTGATAAATTACTAGTTAGGCAAATGAAACCTATTCAACAAAATTCAATTGAATATATTATGAGAAAAAAGAATATTTCAATGGTTGGATTTTCAAAAGGGAAATCATTATTATATTTATCTAGTATAATTTCTTTAATATTAAATAATGAAAGTATGGTAAGTGATATGTATTTAACTTAAAAGTATGTATATTGTTTTCCTATTTTATTTGCATAATTTTATTTTTTTTAGAATAATTTAGAACTTGGACCAAAATGTATTATTCTAAGTAGTTCATTACAGTCTTGTAGTATTATAGAAAGTCTGATAAAAAGTCTTATTTCTTTTGTTCCTAAAAGAAAAATCAAAGTTGTTCTTGCAATGTGTACATCAGTTTCAATGCAACAAACTATGGTAGTAATATATTTTAGGTTTTTTCTTTATTTTTAAATAATTTAAAACTTTTGAATCTGTTTTTATAATAAATTATAATTTTAGATTGAAATATGTAATGGATGTGATTTTCTTATTGCTACACCTTCTAACTTTCAATATTTATTAAAAAATATGAAAATTTTCAGATGGTTAAATTTAGATTATTTTGTTTTTGATAATATGGAATTGCTTTTAGAAAATTATAAAGAACAGGTAATTTATATAGTTAGAAAAAATAAATGATATAGTACACAATTAAGGCTTAGTGCATGAACTGAACTGTGGGTTATGATTGAGGTGTTGCATGGTAAATTCAATAATCCCTTTTTAGTTTTGATGCATAGGTGAGAGGTGTTGATTTTACTATGATGTATTTTTTTTTGTCTCTTTAATGTTTTTCAGCTTTTACTGGGCCAATTTTGATGAATAATATGTCAACAAATTAAATGGTTTCTAATCTAAGATATTTGTTTTAAAAATTGAAAATATTTCCTTTTCTTATAAATGAAGGAAATCCTCCGAAAAATTGTAATCTTTAAAATATGTAAATTTGACATCTTTTATATTTTTTATTATTTACTTTTAGTTTCGATGCGAAGCTGAGAAAGTATTGGTTTTACTATGTTTATTTTTTTTATGTCTGTTACCATTTTTTCTCAGCTCTTACCAAACTGATTTCTTTCAACAATACGTCAAAAGATCACAAATTGTATTTAGTCGAAGACATTACCCTCAAAAATTGAAAAAAATTCCCTCGTTTTCTGTAAATGGGGGAAACCTCCAAAAAAATTACATATTTTAAGATAGCTAATTTTCGAAATTTTTTCAATTTTTTTTACTTAAAACTGCCATAACTTTCTTAAAAATGAATAAATCAATATAATTTTTTTTTTTTAATGCATGATGTCTACCTATCATTTGGTATATTTTTTTTATAAATCTGACCCTTTACTTGCCCACAGGGGGGATTTAAAATGACAACTTTTTCACAAAAAATTAACTTTTTCAATTTAACTTTTAAAAGTGTTATGGAAAGTCTAACATTTAGGTACCCATGCTAGTGTAACTTTGTTGAACCTTGATAGTGATTCTAAAGTTTCCTTGCATTCGAGGACCAGCTTTGAATTCACCTGATCATTACAGAGTGCTTTTAAAGCCGCTTGAATCTAACTTAAGATAGTTATCTTTCTATTTTTGTATACCGGCAGGTTCTGAGTCTCTACCAGTATTGCCATCACCTCTGCTTGGAAAATAGAGGGTGCTGTGCCCAATGACATACTGACATTTATTTGTGGCTTTAAATCCCAAATGCCAGCACCTACTTTTCCTGATTTTTTGAATCCATCTGTATATATTACAAATTCTCCTTTTTAGTCAGGTGTTTAGTATTCCATTCTCTACGTGTAGTGATTTCCACTTTGTAGGGAATGTTCTTCTTAAGAACCGGTTTGATATAGTCCAAGGGGTATTCCAAAAATCCCTGGTCTATCTCTTTTATTATTTTACTATGTTCTGCTGTATCACTCTCCAGAGTCCACATACCTAAGTTGTGGAATCTTAGTGCTGTGGCTTTGTTGTTAGCTTTAACTTATAGATGCAGAGGAGGCAATCTGATTAGTGCCTTTAATGTGACCATTGGTGTAATTCTTAATGCTCCAGTGATGGCTATGACAGCCATTCTCTGTATGCGACTAAGTTCTTTCCTAGCTGTAATGAGTGCTGTTCTGGTCCACCAGACTAGGGTACCGTAAAATATCATAGGTTTAGTCACTGAAGTGTACATCAATACATAAGTTTTGGTTTAAGACCCCATGTCTTTCCTAAGGCTCTGATGCAGGTCCATAGTGTGGTCATTGCTCTTTTGAGTCTTGACTCAACATGTGATTTCCATTTTAGCTTACTATCTAAGATAATACCTAAGTATTTTACTTCCAATTTTAAGCTAATTTCTTGTCCATTTAGAGTAAGAGTGTCAAGACTGTCTAGCCCTGTTCTCCTTCTAGTGAAAATAATGACCTCTGCTTTATTTGGATTAACAGATAGATCATACTTACTGCACCATATATGTATAGTGTTTAGTTTCTGTTGTGCTAAGTCTATAATAGTGTCTGGGAATTTACCCACCACTGCTATAACTAAGCCATCCGCATAGTCTTGTGTATAACAGTATTTGTTTAACTCTTTGATAAGCGAGTCCAATGCTAGACATCATAGCAAGTGAGATAGAACCCCGCCTTATGGGCATCCCTGTTTAACACTGTTGATTACTTTGGTTTCATTGAACTGTCCCATAGTAGAGTTAATCCATTCATCGCGCTAGCATTTTTTAGTTCAAATCCTGATCTTAATAGATCTTTGGCTATCTTCCAAGGCGGCTTCCTTGATTTTAATCTGAATATTAGTACATCTTCTAATCTTTCGACTAGCAGTAAATTCCTCCTATTCTCGGCTTTCTTGCTAGTCTTAATAAGTTTCTGCTTTCTTCATAGGTCTGATGGAACTATATTGGTTGATACTGGTAGCCACTGTAACTGAGTGAACTTCACCGTGTTGCTAATCACTCTTATCATGCTATGCAATTGTGTATCGACTTTCTTTACGTGTGCACTATTGCACCGTATTTGGCTGCGTTAGTGCTGCTATCTGTAGTGTTTTAGCATCAGCGTCGTCCCATTCTGTAACAACGAGTTTTTGGATTAGATTAACTCGAGATTGTACTTGTACCACGATAATGAACCTGTTCACACTACATTTGTTGTTCGTAAATTTTTGGCCAAAAACAATACTGTAATGACGCGCCAGCCACCATATTCGCCAGACATGGCTCCGTGTGATTTTTGCCTATTTCCAAAAATAAAGAAAACTTTAAAGGTCGTTTTACGAACATATATGACATTAAATACTCTCATTCAGCGATGCTCTGAATGAGCTGAAGGCTATCCCAAAGATTGAGTTTGAGAAGTGTTTCTAGTATTGAAAGAAGCATTGGCACAAGTGCATAATATTTAATGGGAACATTTTTGAAGATGACAACATTAATTTAGATAAATAATTAATAAATTATTTTTTTCAAAAAACGAAAATACAATTTTATAAATTTTTGTGGGCCTAATTCTTCAAATGAAAGGTTAAGCCAATTGAAATGCTAGTGGAAGAAGCTTATACTTTGCCACTGCATCGAAGTGTACAGTTATAAAAATAAAAACTTTAAAATATTGCTATTGAGATTATTAGTTGTATTTTTCACAAAAACAAAAGAAAATTTTTTTCATACTAAATACCTTTTTATAATATAAAATTTTATATTATTATGAATTATTTTATGTTATAAAATACTAGTGTAATATAATAATAATTTTCTTGTAGAGATATAGAATGTTCTATTAGTAAGGAAACAGATCAATTGTTACAAACAGTGAGAACAATAGATATCTGGTTACTTACTTACTGAACACCTATATATTACATATGTACAGGAAAACTAATACACTCTGCCACACTCATTAATTTTAAAAATACAAAGTAATATATATTTTTTCTTTTCAAAAATTATATACTATAATTAAAAAAAAATATATATCTTGTTTCATAGAAAATTATTTGATTTTCCATGGGAGAATTTACCAAGGTTTTTTTTAAATTTATAACACATAAAATTAGAAAATAATATAAGTATCATAATGTTCATTTTTTCATTTAATAAATGTAAGTTTTAATAATAAAAAAAAAAATTTCAATAAAATATTAGGGGTATACTGAATTTCCAGGCTATATTTCTTAGTTATAGTAAATTAAAAAAAAAATTCTTTAAATACATATTTAAACAATTTTTTAGATGTTTTATTTCTTTGATTTGTTGACAAAGTTGAAAGAAAATAGACAAATTCAGTTTATATCAGCTTCTGTTAAATGGAACAAATATTTGGATGAATATTTAAAGCGTTTATTTGTAGATTGGCAATATGTGTTTGGCTCTCATTTTGAAGCTGCTCGTTATATGAATATAGGTTTTTATATTATAACATCAAAAAATGATAAATTGAGTAAAATTTCAGGTGTGTAATTGAAGGTATTTAATTGTAAAATGTTAGAAAATTTTTATTTTATTTTTGGTTTTAGATTGTTTAAAAAATAATATAATAGGTCGTCATTGTGTATTAATAACTTCAACTACAGAAGATCATAATAAAATTTATAGTTATTTATCAATGAGTAACCCTGATATAGAAATTTTTTTGCCAGGAGAAATACGAAGTGCTAAGAGTTTGTAGATTTTAAACTATTAATTATAATTATATAATAAGTTTCACAAATAATTGTGTTCTAGATAACTTATAATTGAGCTAATAAGTGTGTTGACCTATATTAATAGGTTTTATTTGTGTTAATTCAAATTTTTTTTTTTTATATATAAAATAAAAAATTTTTTAGTGTTTGTGTCACAACATTGGGAAAAACCACTGTCTAAAAATAAATATGTGTTGATTTGTAATGATGATATGTTGCATGATTTTTACATAGACAACGCTGATTGTCTATTACATTATGATATGCCATCAACAAAAGATGTATTTTCAATAAGATTTAGTGTCTTTCAGGATTCAAATACTAATTTTGAAGTAAGTTTTTTGTATGTATTGTAATTCATCGTTAAAGTAAATTGTAAATAACTCTTTTCGTCCTTTAAAGAGTAATTTTCTGATTTGGCTAATTATTTTATAAAATAATCTAAGTCTTAATTATTAATCACTATTTTTAGGAAAAAAATCGTAATACATATATATTTTTGAATGATGAAAATATAGTGGACTTACCTAAAATTTTACAGCAAATGAAATTATTTGGTAGTGGTAAAGTTGATTCTGTACTAGAAACTCAGGCAAAGGTATATTACTTAAAAATTGAATCATTAAAACGATCGTACTAGGTTTTTAATTTTGCTTAAAAGCAGTATTAAACATGTTAGTTAAATGTGGAAAAGAAAACTATCTATTAAATTCACTAATTGCAACTAATTTTTTATTTGTTAGCTGATTTCGGAAAGTTTAGAAAAAGTAAAGAAAAATCTACTCTTCTGTCCTAACATACAACAGTTTGGTAAATGTCAAAAACCAGAAGCATGTCAAAATCGACATGTTTTAATAAAGGAATTAGATGAACCTTGCCATAATATTCCAAAGTAAATTTTATCAACAATTGATAAAATGATACTTTAAGTTAAGGATAAGAAATCAATAAATATTGTTAATTTATTATTCTTAATTTAAAACTATTTTTAGAATTATAAAATCAGTATTTAGTTCAAATGAACATTTTTTGATTTCAATGACTATTACTATTTTATAGTTTAAGTTATTATTTCTAATTTTATTAAGTTTTAATATTTTTAGATCTGGATTTGCTATAATTAAAATTTTACATGTGTATGATGCCTCTCATATGTCTGCAAAACTTATGAAATTTAGTAATAAAAACATTGAGGATTTCACATCGTGGTTGAATATAGAAGATAATTCTTCTAATATAAATTCTGAAATGGGTTTATATTATTCATCTCAAAGTAAAAGGTTAGTTCAAAAATTTTACTATATCTATTTATTTACTATTTATTTTCTTTAGAATCCTTCATGAAGCTCCAAAAATCGGTGATAAGATAGCTGTAGAAATAGAAAGTAAAGATAGGGAACAATGTATTTATGATTATTATCGAGGAATTGTATTGGAAATAATTGATAGTCACACAATGAATCCTAAAATCAAGGTTAAATTAATAGACAAAGGAATTGTAAAAGTAGTTTCTGTAAGTATTTTAGATTGTATATTATCTTACAAACTACCATTTAACATTTTTTTTATAGAAATGGAGGGTGTTTGTACTTCCTAGTTTTTTAAAGGCTTTACAAACAAATGTAGTCGACATAATTTTAGCTTCTGTAAAACCCGTTGATTTTGATAGAACTTGGTGTTCAAAAGCTGATGTATTTGTACGAGAACACTTAAAGTATATTGAAGATTGTCAAGAGACTTTGGTTGTTAAGGTTAAAATCAATATTTAATATTTATATTATGACACTCAATTGAATAACATAATATTTTAAAATTGTTTTAGATTAAATTAACTCTAGGAACAACAGTTTGGATAGAAAACTTATTCAGAAAATATTGGCATTCTAAAAAAAAATTGTTTCATCATGAATTAGTATTGCCTGATTTATTAATAGATAAAGGATTTGGAGATATGAACTATGAACACATTGAAAAACTTGTAGAACTTTGTAGTTTAGCAGATATAAATGTATTACCTAATTTAAAAAAAAAAAATTTAGACATCAAACGTAAGTTCTTATAATAAACATTTAAGTGTTGATCTATTTGTATGTTTCCATTATATCAGGTGAATTTGGAATAAAGGAATATATGGCTATGTATCAACTACCTTCACCTCAATGGGCACATTTAAGTGATGAAGTCTCATTAGTTTCTATTGATTATGTATATAGCCCCAAGCACTTTTTTGTACGTAACACAAAATTTCATGATCGGTAATTTATAGATTGTTGTATATGTAAAAAGTTTATACTAAAAATTTTACTTTATTTTTATTAATAGATTAGAACTACTTCAAAAAAAAATTGATAGTTTTATAGAAGCTAATCAAGCAATAAAATTAAATTATGTTGTGAAAGATGCAATTTGTTTAGCTAAAAATCCTGATCTTGAGCCCAATAAGTAAAAATAACATTTTTATTTTATTATAAATAAATGTCACCTAGTTTGCTATTATTTTATATGAATATTTAAAATATTTATACAAAAAGAAAATTATTTTTATATAAGTTTATACAATATTATTGACATTTTCAGATGTACCCAAGTATTCATTTCTGAGTTAACTTATTGAATTTGATAATTACTTATACAAAGTTGTAATTTTATTTTTCACTTATAATTAATAGAGATGAATAATTTTTATCCTATTTATAGCTATTATAAAATTTATGTAATAAGATATCTATAATACAAATATCTCCTAGGAAAAAAGATATACTATTTTTTTTTCGGTTAAAGAAAAAAGTAATCAGTTTTATTTAATTTAAAATTTGTTTAAAGAACAAAAAAAACCGATTATTTTTTCTTTTTTAAAGATGCTTATTTGAATTATATTTTATAGAATAAACTGTTTTTATAGGTATAATCGAGCTAAGGTTACAACTATTAGGAATAACAAGTATGTCGAGGTTTTATTTGTAGATTATGGTGAATATAAAGATGTTAAGCGCAGTAGTTTAGTATCTATCCATCCAAATTTAATTTCTGATTTACCATTTCAAGTAATTTAATTAAAAAATGTTTTTTCCATACATAATTAATTTTATTCCTCAAATATAGATAATTGAGTGTAGCCTTTGTGGAATCAAAGATTTATCAAATGATCAAGAAGAATTTAATGAATTAACTAATTACTTTTATCAATTAACTGAATATCCAATGTATGTAAAAGTGAGTAATTGACTATTACAATAAAAATTTAAGTAATAAAAGGTTGGTATCATTTTATGTTAATTGAAAAATGACTTAATGTAATATTTATTTATAAAAGCATGGAATACTCTCTGGTTCATACGGGACTGTAATATTTTAATTTATGATAAGAATTCAGTACTTGTGAATCATTGGAATGCCTAAAAATGTGTGTTCACGGTAATAGTATGTTACAGTGAGACGTGAATGAACTGATAAAACAATATAGATTTGTACGTTATTTTAATATGTTTACTCAAAAAAGATTATTTTATGCCATTTATTTTTGTGTATTATAATGTGAGATTATTTTTGTTGGGGGAGTAAAGGAGTTTTAGTCTAAAATATAAAATATTTAGAATAAAGTATAAAATACTTCAAGTTTAACATTTGATGAATTCAAAAAATACTATAAGAAAAGTCAAATGTTTTGGTAATGCTGTTATTGTAATTGTCAAGTTTTCAATGAAATTTATTTTGACTAAGGATTTCTTTATATTTTTAAATGAAAAATTAATAATTATTTGAAATATTTAAAAAAATATTCATGTCTTCAGTTCTTTGCTGACACTTAGAACTCATAATACATGACTTTTAGGAAACTAACTATTAACCCCTTTGTGCCTATTTTTATACCTGGTCTAGAAACTTCTTTTAGCTTCGATGCAAAGCTGAGTAGGTATTAATTTTACCATGATGTGTTTATTTATTTATTTTTTTTGTGTGTCTGTTACTACTTTTTCTCAGCTCTCATTGGACCAATATTCCTTAACAATATGTCAAAAGATCACAAATTGTATCTAGCTTTACCTTTTATTTTGAAAAAAATTATCTCGTTCCCTGTAAATGGGAATAATCCCCCCAAAAATTACAATTTTTAAAATCGGTACATTTTTAAACTTTTTTTTTTTAAAACTGCCATAACTTTTTAAAAAATGAATGAATCAAAATAATTTTTTTTTATATTGAAGCCTTCGGTATTTTTCTTTTATTTAATATAAATTTTACAAAAATCTTACTCTTTGCCTGCTCTTGGGTTTTTTTTTTATTATTATTATGAAACTGGCATTTTTTACAATCAATTTATTAAATTTTTCAATATTAATACTGATATAAATAGACATTGTTAATAATTTATATGATTAGAAACATTTTATTTAATTTGAATATTATAGAATTAAAAATATCATTTAAATTTCATATAGAAATTTAAAAAATTTGTAAAATTTTATAGATAATTATTTTAAAACTTAGGTTGTTAATACTCTTGAAAGAGCAAATGACACTGAAGGCAAGCATTATGATGTTATACTTTACTATGAAGATTTGGTAGTAAATTTGGGGTTTAAGCATTTCTTTGGTGATTTTTGTGATGATATTCAAATGGATAAAGTTAATAGTGTTATTGATGATTTATACAAGGAAACTAATAATGATATGACACTTGAAGAAGAGTATGAGTTTGATGAAAGCAAGTTTTTTAATGATTTAGATGAAGATAGTATCGATTCTCAAAATAAATTAGTGGAAGAATTTGGTATTGCTATTTTTGGAGAAGTAAATTGTGCATCAATATAATTTAAAATTTTATATGATTAGTATTTTTGTTTTAGAACTTTAAGTCTAGTTTAAGAAAAATATTTCAAGATAAAAATGTTAATAATTCCTTGACTATAAAAGAAATAATTACTGAAGAAATAAGTTCAGATAATGAATCACCAAACACAACCAAATCTATTGAATGTATTAATAAAAGTGAGATACCTGGAAAAAATAATAATGAAGAAATTATTGAAAAATCAAAGATTAAAATTAAAAACAATCGTTCTGAGTATTTACAAAAATATTGTTTAAAGTGTAATACAAATACACAATCAATAGTACCAACATGTATATGGTATCAGGATAGCTGTTTTATTTATCTAAAATTTAGTATTTTAGAAATAGATTCATTTAGTTTAAATTGCTCTTTGGAATCAATAACATTAAGGTATCAAAAATTTATATTCAAATATGTATGTAATAAATTATTTAAATTTTTATACATTTCAGAATTCAAAGTAAAGATGTAGTATACAATTTCAAAGCATTATTATATGGTTTTATTGATAAAGAAACAGTGACGAGTAAACAAAGTTATGATGGTTTTCACATTAAAACTGAAAAATTGTTTAAATCAGGTACTAATATTTTAAAAATAATTTTAATAAAAATTTAAATGAACATATTTGACAAAAAATGTATTATTAAAAATAATTTTAGTGTATAAATGGCCACATTTGTTCCTGTGTAATAGACCACACAAATACTTAAAATATGATCCAGATCATATTGAAGAATCAAGAGATCATTCCACTTGGATAAAAGGTTTATTGTTTAATGTGTAGGTTGTTTTTGTTAATGATACATTTATTTATTATTTATAGTTTTAAATAATTATAAACTTATGGCTCTTGGAAAACCATTGGATAGTAATGCTGAAGATTATGAATCAGACTATAGTAGTGATGAAGAGTCCTTTGAGGAGTTTGAAGACAGGATTTAAAAAGTATTTCTTTTTGTTTTATTTAATTAAATTTTAAAATATGAAGTTGTTATTATTAATTTTGTTTTTTTATGAAGGATATTATATTTATTTAATTGAATCATAGTAAATAGTTTTATTTATTGAAACAAGTTTTCTTAATAAGATTTATTATTTTAAGTATTTTAGTATTTTTACATTAGTATTTTGAGTCATTCAAAACAAATTATTAATTGAAGACGCCATAATTTTTAATTTTTTTATGTTCAACTTTATTTAATATCTCTCCAAAGAAGTAACTTAATGTATGAGTCAGGGTAGACGGTAAAATTTATGCAGCTTAGAGTAACGGAATTGGACCTCACTAACTTGTTTAAAACTAAGCTTTATAGCTATATTCAAATTGAATTTTAGAAACTTATTTAAAATCATTATTTATTGTGATTGTAGTTTAAAGCACTGTTACATTTTTTGATTTGGGAATGTAATATATTTGTTGATTAAAAGTTGAGCTCTTTGATTAATACATTTATTACTACTATATTATATCTATTGGAGATCTCTCAGCAAGTGTATAATCTGAAAGTTAATCATATCTTAGAAAACAGAATCAGATTTTATTAGCATAAAAAAAAAAGACATTAGAGCTACCCTAATATGCACTTTTAATTAGCTATTAAATTAAAAATAAATTGAACAACTTTATTAACATAAACAAATATTTTAATTGTAATTCATATTTAACATAATTTAACACACTAATATAATAAAGGTAACTATATTCTAACAATGATAGTAATAATAATAAATATTATTATGATACATATAGTATACAAAAAATAACATGAATATAAATTAACAGAAAATGTTCAATATTTATAACTATTTAATGATATAACTGATATTTTACCATTATTATTTTATTACATTAAACATGTATAATTAATTTTTAACTAAAATTATATTTGACCATTATGATAGACTAAAAATATATTTACAAAACTATGAGACAGTCTACAATTTACTAATTTCATTATTTTTATATGCCATGTGATGTGATTATTTTATAAAAATAATAATATGGTCATAATATAAATTAATTTATATATAAACTTGTCTACGAAAATGGTAAATAATTGATTGTAGTTATATAATGATTTTGTAATCATATTATTTTACACTATAGGAACTATAGATAATTGGTAAAACTGCAGCTTACTTTTAAGTAAAATATGATCCTGTGCTTGACCAACTTCATAATATATTTTTTTTAATAATTATGATTTATGAGTTATGATAATTGCAATAAATTAATATTCGGAAAAGTATATAATGTCCCTAGAGTGATCAGTCTAAATTGTAATGGGCAATATATTATATTTTATATAAAATAAAATAACAGAACCAAAAGTATCAAAAATGTATAAAGTAAGGTTCATATTTAATTAGTAAGAGAAAGAAAATAACAAATATTTACAGAAAAATAAAAATAATTTGTACAAATATTTAATTATTACACTTTACTTTCGGGACCTTCAGCGGAGTGTTCAAAAGATTTTCGAATTTTTGACAGGTATTTGGAAGTAATATGACCATAAATTTTATTGTACCATTCGCTAGTTCTTCCCCTACAAAAAAAATGTAAAATTTATGGTTAAAAAATTGTATGTTATATTGTTGCTTAATATTATAATCTTACTTGGTATCTACTCTAGAAAGGTGGATGACTCTTGATTTACCTGAACCACATGGTTCAATTAAATATCTAGATGCCAACACAATGCCGCGAACAGAGCCTTTTGGTAATTTAGCTTCTAGGTGTTCAACAGATGTCTCAACGATCGCACAACCTCCTTTATTCAAATTGGTTCTCCACGACCTTATTACACAGTAATCTTTGGTCAAATGTGGTTCCATGGCAGAATTGGTGTACTGATAAAGTTCAGCTTGTGTATCCATTTTCATAACCACTCGGGCGGATACAAGTTCTTTATCCCATACATGTCTTTCCCATAGTATCCTTGTAAGTACCTCTGTAGGCGGTGCTTCTATTTCAGTGCACACGCGCCAAAGTCTTAATGGGTGTCCATCTCCAACTTTCTTGTAAGATATGTCAACGTTTTCAAAGCTTCCCATCGTAATCCATCCTCTATTTCTGTAAGTGTAATTAAATGTTTACTATTGATAAAAAATATGACTAGGAGGTTTAACTGTTCTATATTTACTTGTCTTTGACTTCTTTGAGGAGTGCATTTGTGCAAACGTTTAAGTATCCTTTCCAGTCGTGACCCATTTCCGCCCCAAGATCATCTAAATTTATAGGAATACTCTCATCCATATAACTGAAGTGACATTGGCTCATAATATCATCTGACATCTGAAAAAATAGATTTTAGTTATCATTGATATCAGCTTATTAATCAAGTTACGATTAAAAAGCATATTGACGCGTACCGTATAAAGTTCTCTGTATTGTTTGATGAGAAAGAGCAGACAGTCATGGGCTGATTTATTCTGGCCTAGCTGTTTGGAATCCGGTAATCCGATGTTTGTTTGATTGCGTCGAGGTGAAACAGATGATGATCGTTGGGAGCCTCCTGGACTAGGAGGTGTTGAACCAGAACTACCGTGAGAATTACTATTTCCAAGATGAAATAAGGATGGCGCCAAACACACTGCCAAATTACTAGCAGACATTTGGTTAACGTCACTCTTTAATGATACGTGATGTAAAAAGTTCAGTAAAGTATACAAGGCTTCTCGGTGTTCATCAGGTAACAGCAAAACTGTACAATGAACAGCTTCTTTCTGTAAGTACACTGGAACATCTTAAGTAAAACGATACGATTAATTTTTTGGTTTTATTATTGTATATTACTTTTAAATGAGAATTACACATACGTTGAAAAATAGCAATAAAACTTTCTGATAGCTTATTGGTAAGTAAAGCTTCGGGTAATTCACGGAAGTACTGTTTTACCATGTCGGCAACATCGTAAGCTTGATGATTTTCAAACTTAATATTATCTGGTTCAGATTCTGCCAATTGTTTCAAACGCTGTATACGGGATTTAACTCCTGGCTTTCTGAATAAGCCGACATGATCCAGAGCGTTCTCCTCGAGCCAACGGAAAGCTGATTGTATGAAAGGCGGTAGTGCTGATCCATTTTTCTGTACGTTAGTTATCAATGGAACGCCAAACACAGATTTATCTGAAATAATGTAAAATAATTGTTTAATATCATAATAATAATATATAATTCTATTTATCACTGCTTGATTAAGATCAAACGAATAAGGAAATAAATTTGATTGGAAATCAAAAAAGACAGAAAACAAGAGAAGTGTTGACTAAGTAAATGATCTGATAGAACATAATATAGTATATTTTGAATTATGAAATGATAGAATATATTGCAATATAAAAATAAAAATATATTTCTGTATTAAAATTCTGTACGATACATTAGTAAACAATTTCTTCAAATAAAATAATTTCACTTAAAAAAATCAAATAACTTATATTTTAATACGATTATTTACTTACCTTTTGGATCGGATACTTTAGTTTTACGCATAAACTTTGGTAGCTCCCAGTTCCATCCGGTTCTATGTGTTGGACAATATCTTTCCATAATAGCTGTGAGCTTAAGTAAAGACAATTTGCGTAATACTAAGAGCTGGCCGACCGTGAGAGACCCAATAGTATGTCCAACTAATGAGTCAGGTCGTTGTTTAGTCTTTTGGAAACTGTGCCATCGCACAACTGATTTTCTGAAAAAATGTTTAGGTTATCACTTTTTTGTGTTAAAATATTAAAATATTAAATTATTTTACTTTGACTTAGGTGTTAACTCTTGATCACTGTCTTGCACTGCGCTCGAAACCGAATCAACACTGTCATTGTCTAAACATATGTGTAAATCATTAAATATTGTTAATTATGGGATGGCGCAATACAAAATTTTTAATGAGAAAAATAATCACTTTATAGAATATTATAACTATAAATGCAATGATATTTATTATATACATAAAATTGTAATCGAAAAATTTCACACAAAACATACAAATTTCAGTGATGAATAATAAATAAAATTATTAAATTATAATATTAACGAATATTTTATTCGTTGTATGGCTGTTGGATCAATATACATGACTAAGTAATTAGTAACAGAGCATAATTAAATGCGTCATTGAAAAAGAACTACAAGTAAAAGTAATTTTTTATTTTTTGTTACTAAATTATGTCATTTACTTTCTAAGTATATATTTCGATGAAAATTATTGTTTTACTGAGTGATAAAATTACGAATTTTGTACACACCTTTGTTTTTATATGTTTGACTATCTTGGCTACTGTTTGGAGATGAAAATCTGTTGGTCATAAAGTCGAGAAGAGGCTATAGATAAATTAAATAATAATAACTTATTAAGATAATTTTTATGCAAAATTGATGCGAGTATCAACAATTTACCTTGGTGTTATTACTATTAGCATCGGTATATTCGTTTTTCCAAGATAAATCCGAATCAGAGTACGCCAACGAATCAAGAGATTCAGGTTTGGCCAAGAACCGTTTGTTTTTCAAATCTTCGGCCATTGGAGAGTCTGGTGGCGTTACGTCCACACAATTCAATTCCTTCATTTTTTGTTGCATCGAAGCGACATCAATAATCTGTAAGTTTGTATATATATAAAAAATAACACATCTTTAGAGTCTAGTCTAATCGATTCAATGAAAAATAATGTTCAGAAAAACAAGATGAATTACATATAAACGTGTTTTACTTAATGGGACCTCGTACTTTAAGTAATTTTGAATAGTTGAGCCTACGCCATAATTTGACATTAAAAGCCAGTAAAGTGTGATTCGAAAATAATGTTAAATAAAACTTATCTCAATCATTATGACACGCAGAGAACTATTTATTCATTTGATAGAAGACATAGGGTCATAGTATAAACGTGGCGATGTTAAAAAATCATACACTGTGACAGAAATTGATTAAACGACTATTTATCAAGAGTTAAACTATAAGTATTACACATGTATACATAAGAAGTAACATTTCGCTTGAGCATTATTGTTTATTGGCAGTCAAGGGCATCGGGTTTTTCAAATACTAATGGAGTGCTGGAAATGTGACAAATTTATGAGGCTATTAATCATGCGAGTATACAGAACTCAACTAAAAAAATTAATTTCGATATAAATAAATTCAAGTAAACAAAAATTTGAAAAATCTATTTATATAGGTAGTATTTATACGTTTTCCAACTCGATTGAAGAAGACGAAGAATCCACCAAGATGTTGTCTCATAGTATTTCATCGGACTCGCTTTGATTTGGATTGAAAATTATTGGCGTCTAACATTATTTGATGAAAGTATTTCAGTTTGCTATAAATGTTTTTAAAATTTGATTTATGCAATTAAAAGGTTGCTGTTTTCATTTAATCTTTATAATTATAAAAATGATTAGATAGAACTCAAACAACGAGAATTTTCATCAAAGAATACATATTATTTTTCAACGGGCAGTGCATGTTAAACTCGGGCATCTGTTAGTAAGTATACGTGTACATTATTATAAAATAATAACTCATTAACGAGTGTCGTTTAATACCCACGTAAATGTTGTGCAGTAAGAAAGGAGGGGTAAAGACATCGTCCAGAGTTATGTAACACGAGTAGGTTCTGCATGGAATGTGTGGAAAAATTATACTTATCAAGAAAGCGCATAAAGCAAGAAGTCGTAGGATGACACGCCAGTGCGACGGTTTAATAATAATGGATATGATATAATAAAAATAATAATAATGCTTAAACAGCTAGACGGACACTGACCTGAGGCGCACCGATGACGACGCCGTCGCGGTTGCGTTGTTTCCGTCTTCGGGTCTTCAAGCTCTCCACGCGACGCAAGATGGCTTTGGCACCGTCACGGAGTCGCTCGCTACCAGACCTCCGGAACCGCGATGCTAGTAAATCGGCTGCAACCGTTTCCACCGGTACCGCAACATTCGAGGGGAGTGTCATACAACCGCCGCTGTACCTGCAGTTAGTATCGACCGTTTCAGGCGGCCGCTCAGTGTCCTGAACACTTGGTGGTACTCGGACAGCTGTTAAAGAGGTACTGTCATCAAATCGAGGTACCACAGAAGACTGTTGTTGTCGGGTGTCATTTGACATCACGACATTTTTGGTAATATCATCTACCCTAGACCAGCGCCTCGATTCCCTCTGAAACATCCAATTTTCGCTTAACGCACATTCTCCTTCGGAGTCGGATTCGTCAGCCTAAAAAAACATAATAAATAATAACACGTTCGAAAAATTAATTTACATCAGTTTTGTTTTATCAAATGAGATCGCAAATTTCTTTCATACTTAAGAACACTTTTATTTCTTTAATAAAAATATTGACTTCGATTTGATAAAATAAACAACTAGTTTATTAAAAAATTGTTAGATAAAAGTGATTATTTTCTATTTTCGTAATAAATATTTTTAAATGTTTTGTCAATATGTCTTTTTTTTTATATATTTATAGCATTGACATCTCTGTACATTAGCTTGTTCTAAAATTATATTATCTTCGATTTTTTTTAGTCATAATTGTTGCCTTATTGTTTTTTTATTAATTTATTAGTTTGAGTAGAATAATGGTATTTCCTATATGGTGTCATTTTTGTTATTTAATTGTCAACTATTTTTAAATCTGATAAAATAACGATATAGAGTTATTTCAATCGGTGTGTAATTGATTTGATTACTTTTCAAAACCAGTGTTCCTGACCTCGACTTTTTTAATCGTATTTTTTTAAAAAATAAATAAAATAATATTTTTAAAAATTATGCAATAATTCTTATTACTGTTGGAATTGAACTTACCGTATGTTTGGGCGCAAAATCAAGCTTCATGTTTGCACAACGATTTAGAGCATGTAGCCTTCTGAACAACGACTGCAGCGAGTCCAAATCAAGGAATGGATGATCTTTTTGTACGCCGTTCACGTCGATTGGGAACTGCAAGTCTAAACATATACGCCAATAATAGTAAGACAAGTGAAATTCCAAATGACAAATAGTGCATTATAAAAGACTCACCTTCATACATTTGCGCGTACTGTGGAAACCCAGCTGCCCTGAGCCATTTACACGCTTCTTTGGCTTCGATTTCTGTAACAGAAAAATAAAACTACATAAGATAAATATTATTATTATACAACCGCAAAAGTACATTACAGACGTATACGACCGCAATCGTCGGTGGAGACCACACACACAAACATCTCGCGTGTATATTATCGATGGCTAATTAATTACCTATGACATTTACCTTATTGTATATCTCTATTGTTCAACGAATATACAAGCGAATAAGGTACGGTAAAAATTATCACACAAGGTACATAAAATGAAGAGAAATTAAAAAAACCTAGGTAAAAGTGATTTGAAAACCGTTATAATCAAGACACATTTCACGTCTACAAATGTAATTTCTCATAATAATCGTAGTATAATATTTAAAATTGAAGTCGAATGTAAAGGATTAAATAATTTTAATAATATTACACAATATTTGTAGGTACATCAAATTTACATTTATCGTTATTTTGTATCATCCCATCTAGAATGCATTTGATGAATCCGCTATTTACCAACAAAGAGAACAATTATGAATTTATTTGGATTTTACATAGGAGTTATCCAATTGCGTTGATGTGTTGTAATTGTGGCTTTATAAATACATGAAAATTGAAATATTATAATGTAGAAAGTCGTTTTGTTCTAATTTCATTTGAAACAATAATACTGATAAATGGCAATGAAATAATCAAATAAAATTTGAACAAAATAACAGATGAACGAAAAGTATTAACGTGTACTTTCAAAAGCGAGGATTTATACTATCCTTCAGATTCAAAACATTACATAAGTATAATCGTTGATCGTGTACTCGACTATTTTTGCACGCCCGTCATGTTCACGTGCGAATATTTAAGTGGGTCCCGAACCGTAATGATATATCGTTAAATGTTTTGCCTGAGCGAATCTAAGATTAGGTCACAGTTCAAGAACACGATATATCATAACTTGTAATAATTACAATATTAAGAGTATTATTTTCAGTGGACGTTTTACATAGACAACTGTTATTGTTACTATTGACGAGTGTTTTTTAGAGTAAGTTACGTGGTTTATTCAAATACCATTTAAACAAACAATTGTTATTCAGGGACGTATTCCGTCGACACCCGCGGCAAACATTCAGTTATCGTTCACTTTCGTGTGTTGTCGTGGCGGTTTATTTAAGTTTTTGGTAACGTATGTTTTAATAATCAACCACACATTATCATTAATTATTCAACTGGTTCTTATTATATTCTTCGAGCAAAAGTGTACGTCTTTTAGATCCGCTTACATCCATCATAACAAAAAACAATAAGCCCGTCTTTGCAGTTAACTGCAAAGACAGGCTTTGCCAAAGTCTAAATTAAAACTACATTCACAAGTAAATATAGGATTTAAATATTGCCCATGATTGAAGAATATGACTTGGCTACAGCCACGAAATATTAATACATACAATAGATTTTACAACTTTATGCACATGCATATAAGACTATAATAGCGAACAACTAATAATAGTTTTATGCATAATGTATACGCGTATACATGAAATATGTTCTTTAAATAATGCCATAATGAAGGGAAAATTTAACATCGTATGTTTTGCACAATACGCTAATTTCTACAATATCCATGATAGTGTGTTGCTAAGCTAGTTCTTTTAATGTATAGTAATGACAATTTATTTGTTTTTCATAAACTTGATATTGATAGCGTCGTCTTTTTGTAGACTGTCATAAAGATTCACGACGGATGCCGTCAATAGTGTACACAGGGTTATCACATGGCTCTATACATACATTACGGTCTGTTGCACAACAATTATCAGTCTTTGTCCTAATGTCAATCGTATGATATTGTTTTTTTACTTGCAAGCTGCTGCTACTTAAAACGCATTGTAAGGTGACGCCTCTGCAAGGAGATGATGGGACCGATAATATTGTGATGATTTTAATAAGATAGTATTGAATGCTGAGGTTTAACTTAGTGTGTTTTAAATTTGGTAACTTCTCTGCTTTAATGGAGAAAGTCTTCATTATATCCATATGACCTGTCACGATACTTCCGTAACTCATAGTTGTTTCAGTTTGTTGTTAAAAATTGTAAACCAATAGTACCGTAAGAAGAGGAACCCAAGGAAAGCGTACCGATGACGATGAATATCAATTTGCTGTCAACAGATAACACTATTTTATGATTAGACATTACAATATTTTTGTCTAAAAAAGGATATTAGTAAAATATTATTTAACAAATTTTCGGTAAATTTTACTTTCCAAAAAACCCCATAAAAATGTAGGCTAAGATTATGTAAAATTTTATACATAGACGGTTCACGAACGTAACAAGATGCAAAAAGTGTATTGTTCTATTAAGCCTTAATTAAGTTTGCGAATTTCAATAATTTTTCGTATAACTTCTTAAATATATGTTACTGCTTACACGTCACGTTTTAATCAAAGTTTATTTTTTAATAATTCAGAAATAACTTTTATTTTTAGGTATGTTTATTACCGTAAGTAATACTTGTTCTAAATATTACTGTGTGCTTCATTAAGGTTTTGCTTTGTTGTTTATTTAAATATAAGAAATTATATAATGTGTTACAAAGTGAAAATATTTGTAGTTGATTGTGTCAAAAATTAACACATGAAATTCATAGTTGCGTCCGACACGTTTTTAAGTGATGAGTACCGTCTAGATGGTATAGATATGTTTTTTTTTTTTGTGAAAGCATACGAGTGCAATGTTTAGAATAATACGTGTTTCGCCAATTGAGCATAAAAAATGTCTAGTTAAAGATTTAATAAAGAGAACCGCGTAAACGTGCGAAGAAGAAATAATATTAATGATTTTATCGTAAGTGTTAAAGCAAGCTGATGTTAAAGTGTAAATATTTTATACTATTTTTGTTAAGTTAACACTTCTGACAACATTTACTTTGTATGATATAAACAAGAAATAACAGAAGAATATTTCGGTTTAAAGATAAAAAGTGTTATGAGAGTAATGATCAAGTTTTGAATTTGCAAATAGTTATTCATTTTTATTCTTTTACAGATTAACAATACTTTGTAGACGAGTAACTTATATACTCAACGGTTTGTTATAGTTTATGTCATTATATTTTTGCATGATTTTAACTTGACAATTTATTTATAATTATCATTGATGAACGTAGAAAATGCATAAAAACTAGTAATTAAATTTTCGTCAAAATCCTTATGAAAACGAAAAGATTAACTATTACATGATAATGAGTATTTATATTCGGTCAATCCACGAAAGTTATATGCAAATCATTTTATGTTTTTTACATGTAATGAAAACTTTAATTTGAATAAAATTACTGTAATTGATAAAACCGAGAAAGCGTTTGATAATTAACTAGACTCCCAGGTTTTTATATAATAAAAAATAGATAGGACAGTTAGAAACAGCCACAGGAGGTCACATAAAAATCAAGTATGTTTTATATTTAACAAGTCAAGTTCTTTTCATTAAGACTAACCGATAAATAATTGATTTCTTCTTGTCGAATTAATTAAATTTATAATAATAATAAATAAGCCTATAACATTAAAAAAAAAAAACTGAGGTAAACTTACGTATAATTTAATGATACTGATTTCGTCAATGTAATGGAAATCAAAAAACGTAATACTCAACAAATATCAAAACCGGAATACTGCAATGTGTTCATTCTTTCTCGAGATTTCATTGACTCGAGTATCACAATAACAAGCCGATTGAAATAAGGAATGACTGGTAAGGTTTTGTCGTGTCCTAAGTTTACTGTTGAACGCTAACGCAATGCTTCGGGGTCGAAATGTCAGAATTAAGATTGGGTGGCATATAATTGAATATTGGCGAAACGAATACGGTCGACAATAGGCCGATGACAGTGCAGCATTTCGACGGTGATCTACTTCAATTGTAAACCAGGTAAAGAGTATTGCCTCCTAGCAGTTATATTTGAATGAAGTAAAAAAAAAATACATCCTAACCTCGCCTAGGATCGCGAGTTGTTTTTTACATGAATAATTTCGGTCGTCGAAAGTGCGTTTGATATTGCTGTGATTCGAATACCATAGGAATTTATAACTAACCAATCCGTCTTGATAAAATCATATTGTCACTTTCTCGTTGTCTAAAGTTTGAATGCTGCATTTAGTTATGTCATTAAAATACAAAACCAGCAAATGTTCAATATACCGACTTCATAAGACATTATGTATCGCCGTCAAACACCGTGTGACGGTCGAGTATCTAAATCGCATGATAACTATGATTCGTATGGTAAATGCATATCATTGAAATAATATATCATGTTATCACGGCGTTTGATATGACTTCGTTTGGTGTATTTGAACAATTGTGTTTGCCAATGTAGCGCTAGAATTATTATTGTATGCTTTATAACGATAATGTGCATTGGGGGAGAGGTCTCGGATATGCTTGACGCCGGCAGCGTTTTAACTTCACCTCATGACCAAAAACGGAAGACAAACATAACACCCTAATATTTTTAATGAACATTATTTAATTTACTTTAACGTTTTAATTTATTTTGTATATAACAAAATTGAATGCACGTTCTTCTCCAATACGGGCACCACATGTAACATATTAGTCTATTTAGACAACATATAGTAGTTGCACAGTACTCGACTGACATAACGTTTGATTTATGCACCCGCCAACTACTTGTTTATAAGGAATAATAATTGAGATTTAAGCTTGAAACATTTTAGTGTGTGTTCTAATTCTTGATGATATATGAATTATACGTGTTATGCATCGTGTTAGTCTGTCAGACGGATTGCGGTCGTTAGTCGAGGTAGAATTTTTTTTTATAATCAATCGCAGCTAAAATAAATAAAAAGAAAACAAGACTATTTTTACATTCATAAATAACCAAAAATACTGACTGAGTATGAGGAAAGTGCGCAGAGATAGTGCCACCGAAAAGCGTTGCGCAACAAGGATAATAATCCAGAGAAAGGTATGGTGTATAACATTTCTAACACTATTATGAGATCACA